CCCCTTCATCGCACTGCCACATCTGATCCTTCTCTCCCGCCCGCTCTCCTCCCCTCCTCCCTCTTTCTCCCGCCTTTGCCCCTCCCTTTCCCTTCCATCCCCTCACTTCCTCTCCTTTCCCCTCGCATCCCCTCCGTCTACCGTCCGCTTTTGCCCTTGCCTTCCCCTCACCCCCCCACCCTCCCCTCCCCTCCCTCCCCTACCCTCCCTCCTTCGCCCCTATCACGCGGGGCTGTGCGGGCGGTTCAGGGCGAATGGCGGGCGGGGACAGGGGCATCGTGCAGGTCAGGGCAGGGCCGCATTGCCCTGGAGGGGGATACAGGCCGGGCACAGTGGCTGTCATGACGGAGGGGAAAGTGGGAAGCATAGCGGCAGGGAGGGGGCAAAAGGGGGTGGTGAGGGGCTATGGGGCAGGGGCAGCGACTTTATGGGCGAGGGGAAGTTAACCCCGAATGTATGTCTTCCAGTTTAAGGGTGTGGACGGGCGATGGCATGGTCGTGTCCGCATGAGCACCTACCCTGCATTCTCCTACCTGCACGTGCCGTGCCTGCTGCCAATGTACTCGTGATTCACCTTGGTTTTCCGCACCTAGTGCTGTTCCGTCCCCTCCCCGCCTCATGTGCTGCACGCGTGATGCCTCCCCCTCTTCGCTGTTTCCCCACTCTTCTCGGCCTTATGTTACTTGTGAGTGGGGTATTGATGTTCTCCCTTCATACCCCCCAGAGCTGTTTTCACCCCGCAGTCCTGTTCCTTCACTCACCATTCTCCCCCCTCCTCCTCTTCCACTTCCCCCCTCCTCGCCCCTACTCTCGCCTCCTTTCCTTCTCAACTGCCCCCCTGCGTGTTGAGACAGCTCAACGGCCACACAGAGTATGCATGCACGCTCCATTGCACGCCCATGCCCACTTGCACATCGATCAGGCAGCCCACCCACCCACCCACACGCACGCATCGCTTTCATCTGCACAGCCGTCTGTGTTGCCTCTCGTTCTCCCCCGTTTCCGACCTCTCCGTCCTTGTTCACCATCATTCCCTGTCTAACATTCCCGCAACAACCATAATACCTTACACCCCTCAGCCTTCCTTCTCTCCGCTTGTTATCCCCAGCCACCATCCACTACCCCATCCACTACCCCATCCTCTTCCCCATGCTGCTCGCCCTTTTAACCTCCCATCACCTCGTCCTTGCACACGCTCACTAAACCATCCCTCACCCACACGCTCATCAACTCTCCCTCCTTCCTCCCTCCGTCCCTCACATCACACCTCTCCCCCTCCCCCCTGCTGCTGGCTCTCTCGTCTGCTTCTTCCCAATGCTTCCGCTCCCGCTTCCGCTCTTGCTCCTGCTGCACATCGCATGCTCTCGTCTCTCCACGTTTTGCCTGGACTCTGTCTTGCCTCCACTCTTCACTTGTAACGCCTCCCACAGCCTGCGTCACAGCAAGCAAGCAGGCAGCGCAGCGCTGACCGCATTGGCGGTAGTGACATGGCACTCACAGCCGCTGTACATTCTGGGCAACCACCGGAAGGCTGCCACGTGCCTGCACACGTTCCGATACCAGGTCACGTTCGCAGGCCCAGGCGGATTAGGTTGCGGTGGGTGCTGCTGCTGCTCCTGTTGCTGCTGTCACAATCGTGTATATTGTTGATTGAATTCATTCTTCCTACCGCGGTCTCCCTGTCTTGTGTGTGCACTTTATCGGTGCATGTTCCGTGACTTGCACCAAGCTCCAAGTGCTGCCACTGCCTAACTAACCACAGCTACAACGGGACCCTCTCTCTTGTCCTCCCAACCTCGCTTTCAAGGATGGGGATGGCCATGTGTGCCATGTGTGCCATGTGTGCCATGTGTGCCATGTGTGCCATGTGTGCTATGTGTGTCATGCTGATACTACCGAGTGGTGCGGCGCAAGGGCGTGCATGTGGCGCCCACAGCAAGCAGCACCGCATCCCACTCCCCTCGCCCAACTCCTTCCCTATCCCCATCCTGCAACCACCCCCCTCCCATGTGCATGTATGCCAGGCGGAGGACTGCCTAGTGGCACAGCGCAAGGGCGTGCATGTGACAGGAGAGTGAAGGGAGGCAAGTGCGTGTGGCTAGGACAGCAGGGCAGCAGCGGTACAGCAAGAGCTGGCCTGGTCATCAAGCGGCAACCCCCACCCACCCGTCCTCTCCCTCGTCTCCCATTCTCCTTACCCCCCAGATGCTCATAGCGGTGTTGGAGGAGATGGTAGCGCGCAATGTGCTGGCTAATGTTTATGTGTCCACTCAAACAATGCCCTTTCTCCCCACTTCGCCCCTCCTCTTCTCTCAGATGCTAATAGCGGTGTTGGAGGAGATGGTAGCGCGCAACGTGCTGGCCAATGCCATTGCCGTGCTGCCAGTCAAGTCGCTCAGCCGCTTCCTGCAGTTCTGCCGAAAGTAAACCCCCCCTGCTTGCATGCTCTTGCAGTGCTGCTTTACCTTTGCTTGTCGTGTGCATTGCAGTTCTCCCTCTGCCATTGCATCCCACCTGCCTCCACGCATTCTCCTACCCTGCTGTCATCACACCACCACCCTGCAGTAACCCTCGAGCCCCCTGTCACAGTCACACCGCCCCACCCTGCCTCTCCCATCCCTACCCTCACACACCCTGCTTGGCGTATCTTTCCTCCCTAAACCCATCCTCATCATCCCAACCCCTCTCTCTCCATCACTAGGATCACCTCTATTCTCTTCCCGCCTGCACCCAAACTGCAGTAGGGGGTACATGCACTGTTTCTAAGTAAGCTTTTCTTTCAACCTCTTTTTCTCTTACACAGTGTGCTGGTGCAGTTACCTGTTGTGCAACTGCCTTTTTTTTCTCTCTCTCTCTCTCTTTTTTTTTTTTTTTTTTTTTTCCGTCTCCTCCACACTCGTGCCAATCTCCCTCCAACTCTGCACTACCCTCATGCTACCCTCCATTCACCCACTTTCCTTCTCTCTTCTCTGGCTTCACACTTTGACTCCCCTCCCCACCCCCAAATCTATCACCCCTCCCCCCCCCCACCAACAACCCCCCACCACTTCTCCCCCTGCCAGTTCCACATGGTGGTGAGGTGGTGGAGGCGGAAGCTCTTCTTTGCACGTGTCTTCCTTTACTCCATACCAACACCTTCCCACCCCCCCCTTGCCTCAGTTCCACATGCTGGCGCAGGTGGTGGGGGCGGAGGTGGTGTTTGTTGTTCATTCCTCCTGTCCCCCACTATGCCTCCCCCCCCCCCAGTTCCACATGCTGGCGCAGGTGGTGGGGGCGGAGGCGCATGCGCTGGCAGAGCTGGCGGAGCTGCAGGGCTTTGTGCTGCCGCTGCTGCGCGCCTCCACTGCTGCCACCGCCACCGCCGCCTACACAGACGCAGAGGCAGAGCCCTCCGCCGCTGCTGCCGCCCTTCAGAGCGGCGCCACCGAGGATGACTTGACTGGACTTGACGTGCCGTGCCGAGGATGTGTGCATTAGCTTCGGCAGCAGGCTGGGTTAGAAATGGAGGTTGTTGGTGTTGGGCTGAAAGAAAAAACCAAACAATCAATGATGCTAAAAAATGTTACAGCTCATTCTTCATGCTATCAACGGCGCAAATGTATCCCAAGTTCAGATACACAAGATGGCAAGTCAACGAGCCAGGACCTCATTCGTCTTGATGCACTGCAGCACCTTCATTGAAATCTACAATGCATATAGAGCAGGAAATAGTTACAGCTGTCACAATAATATTTGATATAACGATACAGCTGCATTGAGACATGGTACCAGACATGGGGCATTGGACATCAGATAGGACCTTCTGTGACAATCATCTCGGGGAAGCTATCCCTGATCAAGGCTTCTACGTTCTCAAACGTAGTTGCAATCACCTGCAGGCTCTTGAGCCCCTTGAGCCATTTGAGACCGTCAACAGTGATTTTTGCATCCCACAGCCCCAACCTCTCCAGGCGCTTCATGCTCCTCAGTCACCGAACAAGGGCTGAGCAGCGGCATGGCGCGCGCAGTGAGACGCGCCGGGAATTGAGGAACACGGCCGAGGTAGGCAAAGGTGGAAAGGGAAGGATGAGGTAGGCAAGAGAAGGTACGTGAGCAAGCTGGGCGATGTGTAAGCAGGATGGGCGCACGGCGGAAACCGACTCTTGATGTAGCCTTGGCCAGGGCTTAGCTGAGACGAGTAAGGTCAATTGAATAGTGTAAAGAAAATTTCCGGCTGCCTTAGGGCTGTAACTATTTTACCGGTTGACGGACCGTCCAAGGGCACTAAGTTCGCAAGTTTTCTCCTCGTGAAGGGCTTTGCGAGCGAGTCGCCGGAAAAGGACTGAGCCGCGGCGTGGCGCGCGCAATGAAGTCGCGCGTGAAAGTGACGAGCGTGACCGAGGTGAGGCAGGAGAAGGAATGCGTGCAGACGTTGAGGCAAACGTGAAGCTCAACTGACCACCCAGGGGCAAGTACATGCATAGATAATATATATAATATACTCCGTTGCTCTCAATTGTTCCCGTTTATAATCTTCCAAACGGAGAGTGCACTAATGCGTTAGCCGCACAGCCACCGGGGCAACCTTCGAATGTCACCTGCCTTTGTCCAATCTGCCCCCGAGTTCCATTCCTACTACATTTAGCAGTGCGCTGTGCCTACTAAACCTGCATGCTTTTCGGCACCCAGCCTCACAGCAGTGCTTTGCGCGAGCTTCCCGGATTCACGGCTCCATTTGGACCTCCGCGAGCGTCACGGCCTTGAGAACGAGCTTCGCACGTCCGATCCGATCTGCCCCAGTCGTTGAACACTGAATCGGACTGTTGACTTTCAAGATCCACTCCAACTGGGCAGGTTTGGTTTGGTTCCGCCACAGAGGCTTGCTCAGCTTCGCGTTTTTCGGGAACTAGTAGCTTGTTCGTACTCCCGCCGCAGTTCAGACTTGCCGCAGAAACACATGCATTGCAACGTGCAGCCATACAGCATTCGACCGTGACGAGCGTCACGGCCTTGAGAGCGAAATGGCGACGCCAACAGCAGCGCGGGACATGGAGGAGCGGCTGGCGGAGATGGCGGGCGGCGTGGGGGATCGTATGGCGGCGTTGGAGGCGCAGCTGAGGGAGCAGGGCGACGCCATGGCTGCCATGCAGCGCGACATGGGCGCAATGCGCCAAGCCATGGCCCACCTCATGGGTATGGCGGCGACGGGCGCTTTGGGGGAGCAGGGTGATGGGGCAGGAGCGGGAAAAGGGAGTGCATTGGGAGAGGCAGCGGAGGGCATTGGCGCACAGCCGCTGACATGCGCGGAGGAAAACCTTTTCCCTGCGTTTGAAGCGGAGGGAGCGGATGGAGCGGAGGAAGCGGAGGAAGTGGAGGAAGCGCCGGAGCAAGTGGCGCAGGTGGAAGCGGCGAGGTGGGAGGTGCAGGAGGCGTCGGGTGAGATGCCCGGCGGGGAGATGGGGGCGCTGAAGGCGGAAGTTGCGCGGCTGAGGGGAGCGGCGAAGCGGCATGAGGAGTACACAGAGGGGCGCATCAACGACCTGGAAGCGGAAGTCGCAGCGCTGAAGGAATGGCGCAGCTCGTGGGAGCAAATGGGGGCGGAGAGACGGGATGCGAAGATGCGGAAGAGGGGTGAAGGTGGCGCGCTTCTAGAAAAGCGGGATGACGTCGAAAGGGAGGGCGAGGCGCAGAGGGATGCAGCGTGCGCTGGGGGAGGAAAGACATGGGAGGTGAGTGAGTGAGCGGATGGTCTGGACGGTCAGGTTTTTCTCGTTTTCTCGTTTCTGTTCTGTGTTGCAAAGAACCTCACGTATGCACCCTTAGCTCTCCGTCCTGCCCTCCTTCCTGCTCCTGCCATCTCCCTGCACATTTGACCTTACTGCCCTCCTTCCTTCTCTCCTTCCTTCTCTCCTTCCTTCTCTCCTTCCTTCTCTCCTTCCTTCTCTCCTTCCTTCTCTCCTTCCTGCCCTCCTTCCTTCTCTCCTTCCTTCTCTCCTTCCTGCCCTCCTTCCTTCTCTCCTTCCTTCTCTCCTTCCTGCCCTCCTTCCTTCTCTCTTTCCTTCTCTCCTTCCTGCCCTCCTTCCTGCCCTCCTTCCTGCCCTCCTTCCTGCTCTCCTTCCTGCCCTTCTTCCTGCCCTCCTTCCTGCTCTCCTTCCTGCTCTCCTTCCTGCCCTCCTTCCTGCTCTCCTTCCTGCCCTCCGTGGCTGCAGGCACTGCTACGACTGTGGAGCAAAGTGGCACCAGGCGAGACTAGTATGGACCTCAGCGGCATCTCCCTCCTCACCGACGCTGCTCTCACACAAGTCGCCACCTTTTCCGCTCTAACCTCGCTCAACCTGCGAGACTCCGTCGGCTTCACTGAAGCGGGGGTCTCCTTGCTCACGGGCCTCACACATCTGAATCTACGGGGTACAGCCACAACAGACACAGCGCTTGAAGGCGTTGCCAGGCTGGAGAAGCTTCAAGACCTTATTCTTGACCGGACCAAGATAACCGACGCAGGAATCATGAAGCTGCAGGGGTTATCTGCGCTCACGACTCTGTTCCTAGGCGGTTTGAAGGTCACGTCTGCCAGCATGGCGCATGTGGGCAAGTTGACATCGCTGGAACGTCTCACACTGCATGGCACTGACGTGAGGGAGGACGGGCTGGAGCGCTTGACTGCTCTCACTGCGCTGAAGCTTCTCACTGTGCCTCCAGGAGTGACTGATTCCGGCATGATGCTGCTGCGGAACATGAAACACTTGGAGACGCTGGGGCTCTGGAATGCTGAAATCACTCCCGGTGGTGTGAAATGGCTCATCGGGCTGAAGTGCCTCCAAAAAATTGCAACACATGCTAAAGATGTTCAAGAATGGATCAGGGACATACTACCTGAAATGATCGTCACACCAGGACCTCTCCCTGGTTGATGTTATTAGGGTAAGTACTCCAGCTTGCCTCCCCGCCCTGATGTTTTTGAATGATGAGCTGTATTACACTGATTCAATCAGTTTATGTGCTTTGCAAACCCCGAGTGTTTAAAAATTATAAGATGGATTATGTAATTTATAAAATTCACGGATATAAAGTTTCCTCTCATTCGCCCATTTGTTTAAGTGCTTTTTCCCATATTCTCCCTCTTCTTGCCCCACTGCAGTGAAGCCATCGCTCTGTTGGAGGTTCAGTGAGGTTAGAGAGTGGAAGCTGGCGAGTTCTGTGAGAGCAGCATCAGTGAGGCATGGAACGCCATGGAGCTCCACGCGAGTCCCGCTGGGAACCGCTTCTCTCCACAACATCATCAGAACCTGCAGCCACGAACAGAGAGAGGAACTTTATTGATTACGTTATAAAGAAAGCTATGCTGCAAAAATTGCTGTGCTGGGGAGCATACTATGTAGCTGCACCAGTTTTGATATCAAGCAGGTGATACGCGGCACATGGTGCTCCCTCCGCAGGGAGGTGCGATGCAAGCAGGGAGCTGGGCGAGGGGGGAGGGGTGCGGCATACATGGGAGGGGGGTGGTTGCAGGGATGGATGGGAATTGGGAAGGAGCTGGGCGAGGGGAGAGGGGTGCGGTGCTGCTTGCTGTGGGTGCCATATGCACGCCCTTGCGCTGCACCACGCAATAGTCTCAGCCTGGCCCGCATCCCTATGTGTGGTGATGGGGAAGTAGCTGGAGAACAGGAGAGCGTAGATGGGAGGACATGAGAGAATGTTCGGGAGTAGCAGTGGCAGCGATGCTGGTGGCAGCAGATGGTGACGCTTGGTGCATGTGGGAGAACATGTGGTGAATGTGGTGGTGCTTTGTGCCGCTGTAAAACAAGTTGTTGCCCCGCCCATTAGAATGTCCCATATTGCCACCTGAAGGATGAAGGGGAGAGAGAGGATGAAGGTGAAGGATGAAGGGGAGAGAGAGGATGAAGGTGAAGGATGAAGGGGAGAGAGAAGGCGAGTAAGAAGAGAAGATGGTGTGTGGCTTGTGGGAAGAGCAATGAGTGGTGTGGCAGGTGGTGTAGGAATGATGAGAAGTTATGGTAGATGGTGGGAATAAACAGCTGCACGTTACGAGGAGAGCGACGAGGGGCGGTCTCAATGTGGGAGGCGTTACAAGTGGAGAGTGGAGGCAAGACACAGAGAGACGAGAGCATGCGATGTGCAGCAGGAGCGGGAGCAGGAGCAGAAGAGAGAGAGATAGCAGCAGCAGAACGGAGAGCAGAAGCATGGATGGACCTGGAAGAAGCCGACGTCTCACCTGCGCAGCGCACTGTCGAAAAAGGAACGCTGAGGGGTGGAAAGAATCATGGCTGTTGCAAGGATGGAAGACAGGGAAAGAGGGCGACAGGGACAAGCCGTCAGAAATGGGAGAGAACGAGAGGCCACACGGAGGGAGGGCTGGGCAGTTGGAAGCGATGTGTGCGTGTCAATGGGTGGGTGGCCCGGTTGGTGATTGTGCAAGTGAGCATGGGCGTGCATGCGCACTCTGTGAGTTGTCTCAGCACTGTGCGGGCCGTGGCGTAAAACACCTGTATACGCTCACATGCAGGGGGACAGTTGGGAAGGAGTGGAGGGGAGAGTTGGGAGGGGGGGGGGAGGGGGGGGGGGGGATGGTGGGTGAAGGAGCAGGACAGCGGGGTGAAAACAGTGCTGGGGGGTATGAAGGGAGAGCCTCAATACCCCCCATTCACAATTAGCATATGGTCGAGAAGAGTGGGGAAACAGCAAAGTGGGGGAGGTATCGTGCATGCATAAGGCACATGAGGCAGGGAGGGGACGGAACAGTAAAGGCCAGGGACCGGGGAACAGCAACAGGTGCGGAAAACCACCTGGCCTGTGTCTCCCCTCACCAGCATAGCTTGCCATCCGCCAGCAGCTTGATATTGTAGCAGGTGGGAAGGGCAAGGGCAAAACCGGACGGGAGAGGCGCGCCGAAGTAGAGGAGAGGGGAGGGGAGGGGAACGGAGAGGAGGGGACCGGAGGGAAGGGACGGGAGGGGAGAAGACGGGAGGAAGGGAGGAGGGGAGGAGGGCGGGCGGGAGAAAAGGATCAGGAGTGGCAGTGCGATGGAGGGGTGTGATTACAAACGGAGGAGCTGTGCGAGTAGGTGAGAAGCAAGAATGAGCTTTGGATATCTGAGCGGTGGGGAGGGGTGAAAGGCGGCGGACAGGCCAGACACAGATGAGATTCTGGAGGGGAAAGGGAGGGGAAAGGGAGGGGAAAGGGAGGGGAAAGGGAGGGGAAAGGGAGGGGAAAGGGAGGGGAAAGGGAGGGGAAAGGGAGGGGAAAGGGAGGAGAAAGGGAGGGGAAAGGGAGGGGAAAGGGAGGGGAAAGGGAGGGGAAAGGGAGGGGAAAGGGAGGGGAAAGGGAGGGGAAAGGGAGGGGAAAAGGAGGGGAAAAGGAGGGGAAAGGGAGGGGAAAAGGAGGGGAAAAGGAGGGGAAAGGGAGGGGAAACGGAGGGGAAAGGGAGGGGAAAGGGAGGGAAAAAGGAGGGGAAAAGGAGGGGAAAAGGAGGGGAAAAGGAGGGGAAAAGGAGGGGAAAAGGAGGGGAATAGGAGGGGAAAAGGAGGGGCAAAGGAGGGGAAAAGGAGGGCCTCACAAGTCCTTTAAATCGAGAGAAGGTTTTGAGTGGCTCCCTGGTGACGCCACTGTACACCGTCACCTGCCATGGGGTTCGTGGCGCCACACGCACACGGGGGGTGCGACTCGTTGCACGTGTTACCAACGCGCACACACAGGTCGAGACCGAGAAAAAAACAGGTCACACGTGGGTGGAGCGAAGTGGAAGGGCGGGGAACGGAGAGCGGGGAGGGGGTGGGAGGGGATGAGAAGCGCACGCGGGTGGAGTTGATGGCGGCGAAGTGGAAGGGCGCGGAGGGGCAGAAGTCGATGGTCGTCACGTTGCCGATCAGCGGCTCCGCCGCTTTCCGCCGGAAGCTGCGCAAATCCCCACTTCCGCCGTCTCCCCGGGCGCCGCCGGCGCATGGCGCTTGGGCGTGACTAGAAAATCGTCCACCACCTGCTGGTCGCCCATTGGTCGACGCCTCTATAACGGAGGTCTCGTGAGATTTCGAGCGAATCGAGTCACCGGACAAGGGCTGAGCAGCGGCATGGCGCGCGCAGTGAGACGCGCCGGGAATTGAGGAACACGGCCGAGGTAGGCAAAGGTGGAAAGGGAAGGATGAGGTAGGCAAGAGAAGGTACGTGAGCAAGCTGGGCGATGTGTAAGCAGGATGGGCGCACGGCGGAAACCGACTCTTGATGTAGCCTTGGCCAGGGCTTAGCTGAGACGAGTAAGGTCAATTGAATAGTGTAAAGAAAATTTCCGGCTGCCTTAGGGCTGTAACTATTTTACCGGTTGACGGACCGTCCAAGGGCACTAAGTTCGCAAGTTTTCTCCTCGTGAAGGGCTTTGCGAGCGAGTCGCCGGAAAAGGACTGAGCCGCGGCGTGGCGCGCGCAATGAAGTCGCGCGTGAAAGTGACGAGCGTGACCGAGGTGAGGCAGGAGAAGGAATGCGTGCAGACGTTGAGGCAAACGTGAAGTTCAACTGACCACCCAGGGGCAAGTACATGCATAGATAATATATATAATATACTCCGTTGCTCTCAATTGTTCCCGTTTATACTCTTCCAAACGGAGAGTGCACTAATGCGTTAGCCGCACAGCCACCGGGGCAACCTTCGAATGTCACCTGCCTTTGTCCAATCTGCCCCCGAGTTCCATTCCTACTACATTTAGCAGTGCGCTGTGCCTACTAAACCTGCATGCTTTTCGGCACCCAGCCTCACAGCAGTGCTTTGCGCGAGCTTCCCGGATTCACGGCTCCATTTGGACCTCCGCGAGCGTCACGGCCTTGAGAACGAGCTTCGCACGTCCGATCCGATCTGCCCCAGTCGTTGAACACTGAATCGGACTGTTGACTTTCAAGATCCACTCCAGCTGGGCAGGTTTGGTTTGGTTCCGCCACAGAGGCTTGCTCAGCTTCGCGTTTTTCGGGAACTAGTAGCTTGTTCGTACTCCCGCCGCAGTTCAGACTTGCCGCAGAAACACATGCATTGCAACGTACAGCCATACAGCATTCGACCGTGACGAGCGTCACGGCCATGAGAGCGAAATGGCGACGCCAACAGCAGCGCGGGACATGGAGGAGCGGCTGGCGGAGATGGCGGGCGGCGTGGGGGATCGTATGGCGGCGTTGGAGGCGCAGCTGAGGGAGCAGGGCGACGCCATGGCTGCCATGCAGCGCGACATGGGCGCAATGCGCCAAGCCATGGCCCACCTCATGGGTTATGGCGGCGACGGGCGCTCTGGGGGAGCAGGGTGAGGGGGCAGGAGCGGGAAAAGGGAGTGCATTGGGAGAGGCAGCGGAGGGCATTGGCGCACAGCCGCTGACATGCGCGGAGGAAAACCTTTTCCCTGCGTTTGAAGCGGAGGGAGCGGATGGAGCGGAGGAAGCGGAGGAAGCGGAGGAAGCGCCGGAGCAAGTGGCGCAGGTGGAAGCGGCGAGGTGGGAGGTGCAGGAGGCGTCGGGTGAGATGCCCGGCGGGGAGATGGGGGCGCTGAAGGCGGAAGTTGCGCGGCTGAGGGGAGCGGCGAAGCGGCATGAGGAGTACACAGAGGGGCGCATCAACGACCTGGAAGCGGAAGTCGCAGCGCTGAAGGACTGGCGCAGCTCGTGGGAGCAAATGGGGGCGGAGAGACGGGATGCGAAGAGGCGGAAGAGGGGTGAAGGTGGCGCGCTTCTAGAAAAGCGGGATGACGTCGAAAGGGAGGGCGAGGCGCAGAGGGATGCAGCGTGCGCTGGGGGAGGAAAGACATGGGAGGTGAGTGAGTGAGCGGATGGTCTGGACGGTCGGGTTTTTCTCGTTTTCTCGTTTCTGTTCCGTGTTGCAAAGAACCTCACGTATGCACCCTTAGCTCTCCGTCCTGCCCTCCTTCCTGCTCCTGCCATCTCCCTGCACATTTGACCTTACTGCCCTCCTTCCTTCTCTCCTTCCTTCTCTCCTTCCTTCTCTCCTTCCTTCTCTCCTTCCTTCTCTCCTTCCTTCTCTCCTTCCTGCCCTCCTTCCTTCTCTCCTTCCTTCTCTCCTTCCTGCCCTCCTTCCTTCTCTCCTTCCTTCTCTCCTTCCTGCCCTCCTTCCTTCTCTCTTTCCTTCTCTCCTTCCTGCCCTCCTTCCTGCCCTCCTTCCTGCCCTCCTTCCTGCTCTCCTTCCTGCCCTTCTTCCTGCCCTCCTTCCTGCTCTCCTTCCTGCTCTCCTTCCTGCCCTCATTCCTGCTCTCCTTCCTGCCCTCCGTGGCTGCAGGCACTGCTACGACTGTGGAGCAAAGTGGCACCAGGCGAGACTAGTATGGACCTCAGCGGCATCTCCCTCCTCACCGACGCTGCTCTCACACAAGTCGCCACCTTTTCCGCTCTAACCTCGCTCAACCTGCGAGACTCCGTCGGCTTCACTGAAGCGGGGGTGCGAGGGCTCTCCTCGCTCACGGGCCTCACACATCTGAATCTACGGGGTACAGCCACAACAGACACAGCGCTTGAAGGCGTTGCCAGGCTGGAGAAGCTTCAAGACCTTATTCTTGACCGGACCAAGATAACCGACGCAGGAATCATGAAGCTGCAGGGGTTATCTGCGCTCACGACTCTGTTCCTAGGCGGTTTGAAGGTCACGTCTGCCAGCATGGCGCATGTGGGCAAGTTGACATCGCTGGAACGTCTCACACTGCATGGCACTGACGTGAGGGAGGACGGGCTGGAGCGCTTGACTGCTCTCACTGCGCTGAAGCTTCTCACTGTGCCTCCAGGAGTGACTGATTCCGGCATGATGCTGCTGCGGAACATGAAACACTTGGAGACGCTGGGGCTCTGGAATGCTGAAATCACTCCCGGTGGTGTGAAATGGCTCATCGGGCTGAAGTGCCTCCAAAAAATTGCAACACATGCTAAAGATGTTCAAGAATGGATCAGGGACATACTACCTGAAATGATCGTCACACCAGGACCTCTCCCTGGTTGATGTTATTAGGGTAAGTACTCCAGCTTGCCTCCCCGCCCTGATGTTTTAGAATGATGAGCTGTATTACACTGATTCAATCAGTTTATGTGCTTTGCAAACCCCGAGTGTTTAAAAATTATAAGATGGATTATGTAATTTATAAAATTCACGGATATAAAGTTTCCTCTCATTCGCCCATTTGTTTAAGTGCTTTTTCCCATATTCTCCCTCTTCTTGCCCCACTGCAGTGAAGCCATCGCTCTGTTGGAGGTTCAGTGAGGTTAGAGAGTGGAAGCTGGCGAGTTCTGTGAGAGCAGCATCAGTGAGGCATGGAACGCCATGGAGCTCCACGCGAGTCCCGCTGGGAACCGCTTCTCTCCACAACATCATCAGAACCTGCAGCCACGAACAGAGAGAGGAACTTTATTGATTACGTTATAAAGAAAGCTATGCTGCAAAAATTGCTGTGCTGGGGAGCATACTATGTAGCTGCACCAGTTTTGATATCAAGCAGGTGATACGCGGCACATGGTGCTCCCTCCGCAGGGAGGTGCGATGCAAGCAGGGAGCTGGGCGAGGGGGGAGGGGTGCGGCATACATGGGAGGGGGGTGGTTGCAGGGATGGATGGGAATTGGGAAGGAGCTGGGCGAGGGGAGAGGGGTGCGGTGCTGCTTGCTGTGGGTGCCATATGCACGCCCTTGCGCTGCACCACGCAATAGTCTCAGCCTGGCCCGCATCCCTATGTGTGGTGATGGGGAAGTAGCTGGAGAACAGGAGAGCGTAGATGGGAGGACATGAGAGAATGTTCGGGAGTAGCAGTGGCAGCGATGCTGGTGGCAGCAGATGGTGACGCTTGGTGCATGTGGGAGAACATGTGGTGAATGTGGTGGTGCTTTGTGCCGCTGTAAAACAAGTTGTTGCCCCGCCCATTAGAATGTCCCATATTGCCACCTGAAGGATGAAGGGGAGAGAGAGGATGAAGGTGAAGGATGAAGGGGAGAGAGAGGATGAAGGTGAAGGATGAAGGGGAGAGAGAAGGCGAGTAAGAAGAGAAGATGGTGTGTGGCTTGTGGGAAGAGCAATGAGTGGTGTGGCAGGTGGTGTAGGAATGATGAGAAGTTATGGTAGATGGTGGGAATAAACAGCTGCACGTTACGAGGAGAGCGACGAGGGGCGGTCTCAATGTGGGAGGCGTTACAAGTGGAGAGTGGAGGCAAGACACAGAGAGACGAGAGCATGCGATGTGCAGCAGGAGCGGGAGCAGGAGCAGAGAGAGAGAGAGATAGCAGCAGCAGAACGGAGAGCAGAAGCATGGATGGACCTGGAAGAAGCCGACGTCTCACCTGCGCAGCGCACTGTCGAAAAAGGAACGCTGAGGGGTGGAAAGAATCATGGCTGTTGCAAGGATGGAAGACAGGGAAAGAGGGCGACAGGGACAAGCCGTCAGAAATGGGAGAGAACGAGAGGCCACACGGAGGGAGGGCTGGGCAGTTGGAAGCGATGTGTGCGTGTCAATGGGTGGGTGGCCCGGTTGGTGATTGTGCAAGTGAGCATGGGCGTGCATGCGCACTCTGTGAGTTGTCTCAGCACTGTGCGGGCCGTGGCGTAAAACACCTGTATACGCTCACATGCAGGGGGACAGTTGGGAAGGAGTGGAGGGGAGAGTTGGGAGGGGGGGGGGAGGGGGGGGGGGGATGGTGGGTGAAGGAGCAGGACAGCGGGGTGAAAACAGTGCTGGGGGGTATGAAGGGAGAGCCTCAATACCCCCCATTCACAATTAGCATATGGTCGAGAAGAGTGGGGAAACAGCAAAGTGGGGGAGGTATCGTGCATGCATAAGGCACATGAGGCAGGGAGGGGACGGAACAGTAAAGGCCAGGGACCGGGGAACAGCAACAGGTGCGGAAAACCACCTGGCCTGTGTCTCCCCTCACCAGCATAGCTTGCCATCCGCCAGCAGCTTGATATTGTAGCAGGTGGGAAGGGCAAGGGCAAAACCGGACGGGAGAGGCGCGCCGAAGTAGAGGAGAGGGGAGGGGAGGGGAACGGAGAGGAGGGGACCGGAGGGAAGGGATGGGAGGGGAGAAGACGGGAGGAAGGGAGGAGGGGAGGAGGGGGGGCGGGAGAAAAGGATCAGGAGTGGCAGTGCGATGGAGGGGTGTGATTACAAACGGAGGAGCTGTGCGAGTAGGTGAGAAGCAAGAATGAGCTTTGGATATCTGAGCGGTGGGGAGGGGTGAAAGGCGGCGGACAGGCCAGACACAGATGAGATTCTGGAGGGGAAAGGGAGGGGAAAGGGAGGGGAAAGGGAGGGGAAAGGGAGGGGAAAGGGAGGGGAAAGGGAGGGGAAAGGGAGGGGAAAGGGAGGGGAAAGGGAGGGGAAAGGGAGGGGAAAGGGAGGGGAAAGGGAGGGGAAAGGGAGGGGAAAAGGAGGGGAAAAGGAGGGGAAAGGGAGGGGAAAAGGAGGGGAAAAGGAGGGGAAAGGGAGGGGAAAAGGAGGGGAAAGGGAGGGGAAAAGGAGGGGAAAAGGAGGGGAAAAGGAGGGGAAAAGGAGGGGAAAAGGAGGGAAAAGGAGGGGAAAAGGAGGGGAAAAGGAGGGAAAAGGAGGGGAAAAGGAGGGGAAAAGGAGGGCCTCACAAGTCCTTTAAATCGAGAGAAGGTTTTGAGTGGCTCCCTGGTGACGCCACTGTACACCGTCACCTGCCATGGGGTTCGTGGCGCCACACGCACACGGGGGGTGCGACTCGTTGCACGTGTTACCAACGCGCACACACAGGTCGAGACCGAGAAAAAAACAGGTCACACGTGGGTGGAGCGAAGTGGAAGGGCGGGGAACGGAGAGCGGGGAGGGGGTGGGAGGGGATGAGAAGCGCACGCGGGTGGAGTTGATGGCGGCGAAGTGGAAGGGCGCGGAGGGGCAGAAGTCGATGGTCGTCACGTTGCCGATCAGCGGCTCCGCCGCTTTCCGCCGGAAGCTGCGCAAATCCCCGCTTCCGCCTCCGCGGGCGCCGCCGGCGCATAGCGCTTGGGCGTAACTTTGAGAAAATCGCCCACCACCTGCTGGTCGCCCATTGGTCGCGGCCTATAGGTAGTAGGCCTATGGTTTGCAAGCGAGTCGAGACAGTGGAAGCGACGAATGCGACTGAGGTATGAAAAGGTGCGAAGCGGAAGCCAGGTGCGCGGGTGCAGAGCAGACGTCGAGGGAGTGAAGGGCGACGGGCACACCACGGAATGGCACTGAAAGCCAAAGCGTTCAGGAAAGGAACTCGTCAGAAGGTTTTAACTTATTTTTGGCAATAAGTCCTTCAAGGAGTGATTGAATTGATGGCTACTCTTCCAACAGAACGAAGACGAAGTCATTTATACATGAAAGAGTAACAATGAACTAAGGTAGTTTAAAGGTGTGAACATGTCTAAGAAGCATTGCAGCACAATTTCCCCCATTTCCTATCTGGTAGGCATGGTATAGGATAGATAGAGCGATCAGAGAGGCCCCGGTGTCACGATCATCCCAGGAAAGATGTCCCTGATCAACTCTGCAACGTCTTCTGCATCTGTCGCAATCACCTGCAGCCTGAGCCCCTTGAGCCACTTGACACCGGCAGCAGTGATCTTAGCATCCCACACACACAGCTTCTCCAGGCGCTTCAAATTCCTCAGGTGCTTCATGCCAGAGTCGGTCACCCCTGGAGGCAAGACGAGGAGCTTCAGTGCGATGAGCGTACTCAAGCGCAGCAGTCCATCCTCTGTCACTGCAGTGTCGCTCAGAGCGAGCGATTCCAATGCTGTCAGCTTGCCCAGATGCACCATGCTGGCATCTGTGACCGCGTCACAGGCGCCTAAGAGCAGTTCCACGAGAGACGTCATCCCCTGCAGCTTCGCTACTCCCGCATCCGTTATCTTGGTGTTGAAGAGATCAAGCGCGCGGAGATTCTTCAAGCTGGAAATGCCTTCAAGAGCCGCGTCTGTTGTGGCTGTATTCTGCAAAACCAGACACTTGAGAGTCGTGAGAGAATAAAGCCCTTTCACCCCTGCTTCAGTGAAACCGGAGGAGCCGTTGAGGTTGAGTGTGGTTAGAGAGGAAAAGGAGGCGAGTCGTGCAAGAGCAGCGTCGGTGAGGAGGGGGACGCCACTCAGGTCCATGAGAACCATGTCTGGAACCGCTTCGCTCCACAGCAGCATCAGTGCCTGCAACCACGGACAGCAGGAAGATCCAATATATGGAGAGGAACTGGCGTGAGCAATGGGTTACGGTACGCGAAGCATTTTGGCAACGAGAAGGCTTCACACATGCAACCATGCGTGCCGCACGTGCTGCAGGTGCTGAAGGCAAATCTGTTTTATCAACGCACGAAAGCAAAGAAAACTCCAGAACTCACCTCCCACGTCTTGCTTCCGGAGGCGCTCGTTTTCTCCAGCGCTTTCACTCGCGCTCTCAGTTTCTGCAGCTCAGCTTTTGTGTCGCACGCTGCACCATCCTTCAACCCCAACGCTTCGCCATCAATTTCCACGTCTTCCCGCATTATCACAACCGCACCACCGTTAGCAATCAGCGCACGCCCAGCGCCCGCAGCAGCATCTGACACTCCCCCCTTTTCGCCTCCCCTTCCTCCCTCTTCCGCCTCTTCCCCTCCCGTCTCTCCTCCCCTGCCCGCCCTTCCCCGCCGCCCTCCTCGCGTTCGGCGCGGCTCTTCTCCGCCTTGCTCTCGTCCTTGATGGCGGCGAGCGCCAGCTCGGCGTCGTTGATGCGCGACTCCGAGTGCGCCGCCGTCGCCTTCACGTACGCCACCTCCGCCGCCTGCCGCTCCGTCGCAGCCTTTATCCGCGCAAGCTCCGCCTTCAGCGCGCCCACCTCCCCGCGCATCTCACTCACCGCGACCCGCGCCTCCCCCCTCGCCGCTTCCACCTGCGCCTTCACCTCCTCCACTTCTAGCGCAGCGATAATGTTATCCCGCGCGCCTTTCAGCGGCTGCGCGCCAGCGCCCTCTGCTGCCTCCCCCGACGCACTCCCGTTTCCCGCCCCCTCCCCCTCAATCTTCTCCCCCAAAGCGCCCGCCGCCACCATCCCCTTGAGGAGGGCCATGGCGCGGCGCATGTCGGCCAAGTCGCGCTGCATGGCAGCCATGGCGTCGCCCTGCTCCCTCAGCTTCGCCTCCAACGCCGCCACGCGCTCCCCCACGCCGCCGGCCATCTCCGCCAGCTGCACCTTCAGCACCATGCCGTTCACCAGCCGCAGCTCCATGTCCCGCGGTGCCGTTGCCGTCGCCATTTCGCTGTCAATGCTGTGATGCTCGTCACCGTAAGTTACTGCCTCGCTGTATGCTACAAAACGTTTACGTTGGAGCAGAGCAACCGCAAACTTGAGCACACGGGGTTTCACCTAGGTTTCTTCGCCATGGAAGCAGGTGAAAGTTGACTGTATTCCCTACGGTCGCTATCGAAATGTGAAACAACTTCAAGTCAAGTGTCAAAATGTTGTTGCTTGCTGGGTCTTCGACGTGTGTGGTGTGCGTGCATGGCGCTTCGATTTCCATCCCGAACCAGCTGCCCACGCCGAACCAGCATAAACGAATCGCATGGAAGCTTTTCTAAATGAACGGTCAGATTCAAGGAGCAATCCCAAGAAGCCGAGATGGGAGACTCGTTGTTGCTCCAATAATCGTGTTTGTGCACTCGAATAACCCAGCGCAATTATCGCGTTTGTGCGTTCTCCGCTTGGAGACACATCCAGCGGGAATTTAGGTAGTCAATAAGAGCATATGAAAGACAAGTATATTCTGACAATCCTTGCAATATTCCGTGAAACCAAGGCTACCCACAAGCACTTTTGCCCAAAAGGCAGACATTGTTGCTGTTCCCAGTATTGAGGAGGATTATAGATACCAGCACACCGAATGCAATAATTTTACTGGCGGGAATTTATGTAGCAAAAATTGATATGCTTTTGTTTCTATGATCCACTACCTTACAACACTCCTTTCTCCGAAGCTTTCTGCTATCCCTCTCAGCACCTCCACAATTCTGCTCATATTCCCCAGCCCCATTCTCCAGGGCACCTCCCCCTGACACAGCAACAGGTGGTAATCCAACCCACACGCATCCGCCAGCCGATGGAACACGGCATGCTCGCTCAGCTGCGCCCCCTGTGGCAACTCCAGCACCACGACATGGGGCGGCGTGCGGGGCCACAAACACGCGCGCGCGGTTGAACGTGCGCTTCACTGTCAGCAGGTAAGCGGCTGAGCCCCCCCACTGTTCGCAAGCGCCTCGCCCCAAACACCTCCACCAGCGCCACGTGCAGCCCTGCTAGCTCCTCTGCTGTGCCCGCTCCTGGCCGCTTCCCTCACACCACCACCCAGAGGGGAAGCCACTGCTGCAGTGGGAGGTGGCAAAGAGAGGAAGATGCAGGAGAGTCAGGTGAGGATATTGAAAGATTATCAAGGATGGGATAGTGAACGAAACAGGAATATAAGTCAGAACAAAGCAGACGCAAGGGGTGACGAAGGAGAGGGAGGAGGGCAAGTGATGCAAGGAAAACACGAGAAAAAGAGAGTGTATGTGTGTGAATAAGCAGGAGAGGGAGAGGGAGAAAAATGAGGTGAAGGTGCAGAGGAGGGAGGAGGGAGGAGGGATGCGGGATGAGGGATGAGGAAGGATTAAGGATGGAGGAGGGAGGAGGGGAGGAGGGAGCATACGGCGGCAGCAGGTAGTGGTGGCGGAGTGTCTGCCAGAGAGCTCGGCTGGGCTTGTGATGGCGCTGGTGCACCGGCTGTAGGAGAATGTCTGGGGGGATGGGGATGGGGAGAAGGAGAGGGGAGGAGGAAGGGCCACTGAAGTTGAGGCAATTGGTGCACTTTCACCTCCCTTGAAAAGCTTTATCAGCAAGAGGGAGAACACACAACACCCTTCCCTACATTCATCCCTTCACCATTCTACAGGAGCATCAGCAAGAGCGATAAGGGGAGGGTGCAAGTGGCAGAGGCTCCAGCACCATCTTCAATATACATTCGCCCAGGCGACACCCTTGCTCCCTGCAAAAACCACACGTCTGCCCACAAGAAATCACAGAGAGAGCCAGCGAGAAAACATCAAGAGGCAAGAGCAGCAGGCATGGAGGTGGAGCAACGGGACACGCGCACGCACCAAAGAGCACGATGCCACGGCCTGTGAGCTCCCGCACGTCCATGCGCCCAAAGTCCACGCCAGTCACCTCCGCCCCCAGCAGCAGCAGCGCCCCCTCCTGCGACAAATGCACCCCCTCGCTTTCCCCTTTCCCCCCAACAACCCCTACTGCTGTTGCTTCTCCTGCTGGTGCTGCTCGTGGCCGTCGCTGGTGTGGTGGTGGTTGTTGGGGTAGGTGGCGGGGCTGTGGCGATCGGAGGGAGCAGGGCAGGCGTTGGAGTGGAAGAGAGTGGTGCTGTTGAACACTCGCGCGTTGCTTGCTTGCAGCATGCGAGCGGTTACTGCAGCTCGAGCGGGTTAGCGCTCCCCACCTCACCCCGCACCTGCGCCACCACCCTCCCTTGCCCGACGTCTCACCACCCGTCCTCTTGGCACCGCCACTCCCCTGCCCTGCACCCGCCGTCCCACTCTCATCTCCGCTACTAGTGCTGCTGCTGTTGCTGCTGTTCATCATGCCACTCCCACCACCTCCCCTCAAAGCCTTCGCGGGCCCCATCTTTTCCAGCATTTGAAAAGCCTGCATGATATGCACAAGTTCCCCCAGATCCCAGCTCCTTCCCAAGCCCCAAACACTGTCATAGAGAAGGCCAGGACAATATCAGAGAGGGCCTTGTGTCACAATAACTTCAGGTAGTATGTCCCTGATCAACTCTTGAACATCTTCAGCCTCTGTTGCGATTTTCTGCAGCCTCTTCAAGCCCAAGAGCCATTTGACACCAGAGGCAGTGACCCTAGCCTTCCATATCCCCACAGTCTCGAGGGCTTTCATATTTCTCAGGAGCTTCATGCCGGAATCGGTCATCCCTGGAGGCAGAGTGAAGAGCTTGAGTGCTGTGAGAGCAGTCAAGTGCCGCAGTCCGTCCTCCCTCACTCCAGTGCCATGCAGTGCAAGACGTTCCAGCGATGTCAGCTTGCCCACATGCACCATGCTGGCAGACGTGATCGACACGCTGCCTATGTATAGAGTCTTGAGTGCTGACAATCCCTGTAGTTTTGCTATTCCCACATCGGTTATCTTTGTCTGATTAAGGACAAGGTCTTGAAGCTTCTCCAGCCTGGCGACGCCTTCAAGAGCCGCGTCTGCTGTGGCTGTACCCCGTACATTCAGATATGTCAGAGCCGTGAGGCAAGAGAGCCCTCTCACCCCGGCTTCAGTGAAGCCCGAGGATTCTCTGAGGTTGAGTGCGGTTAGAGAGCTTAAGGTGGCGACTTTTGAGAGGGCGTCGTCGGTGACGGAACGGACGCCGTTGAGCTCCATGCGCGTCTCGCCGGGAACTACCTTCCTCCACAGCGTCATCAGTGCCTGCAGCCACGGACAGCAGCAAGGTCACACATGGAAGGATACTACTGGCCTGAGCAGCTGGTAGCAGAGAAATATGGTGCGTAGTAAATGCTTGGTCGCTTACCTTCTGGTCTTTTCAGCGAATAAGCTACACGCGCACCCGTACGTGCCACACAAAATGCAGATGCTAGTGTTTCCATATCCGCACAGAACCTAAACCAAGCTAATTCGTAAATGGAAAAAGAAAAGTAGAACCCCACGACTTTCCCCCTCCGTCAATACCATCCACTCACTCACCTCCCATGACTTCCCCGCTCCAACGCTCAATTTCTCCAGTGCTTCGACTCGCGCCCTCAGCCCCTGCAGTTAAACCTCCGTGTCACAAGACGAACCATTCTTCTGCCCGTACGCTTCGCCATCCCTTTCCGCCTCATCCCGCTGTTCTTCAAGCAAATTATCACTAGCACTTAGCCCATCTGCCATGCCCCCTTTGTCCCCTCCTTCCTCCCTTTTCCGCCGCTTCCCCTCGCGCCTCTCCGCCTCCGCATCCTCCCTTCCGCTGCTCTCCTCGCGCTCGGCGCGGCTCTTCTCCGCCTTGCGCTCGTCCTTGATTGCGGCGAGCGCCAGCTCAACTTCGTTGATGCGCGCCTCCGAGTGCGCCGCCGTCGCCTTCACGTACGCCACCTCCGCCGCCTGCCGCTCCGCCGTTTCCCTCAACCGCGCAAGCTCCGTCCTAAGCGCGGCCATCTCCCCGCGCATCTCACTCGCCTCTCCATTCACCGCTTCAAGTGCAGCGAGAATGTTATCCCGGGGGGCGCCTTTCAGCGGCTGCGCGCCATTGCCCTCCGCTGCTTCGCCCGACGCAATTCCTTTTCCCTCCCCCTCCCCCTCTCCTCCCCCCTCACTCTTCTCCGCCAAAGCGCCCGTCGCCGCCATCCCCTTGAGGAGGGCCATGGCGCGGCGCATGTCGGCCATGTCGCGCTGCATGGCAGCCATGGCGTCGCCCTGCTCCCTCAGCTTCGCCTCCAACGCCGCCACGCGCTCGCCCACGCCTCCTGCTGACTCATCCATCTTCATCGTCAGCACCATGCCGTTCAGCATCTCCTTCAGCCGCACCTCCAAATCCCGTGCTGCTGTTGCCGTCGCCATTTCGCTGTCAAGGCCGTCCAGTCCAGCGTGCTTTCTGGCTGCACGCTGCAGATTATGAGAGTTTTAGGCACAGCAGCTTCAAACTTGAGCACTCAACGTTTCCTCTAAATTGAGCGGCTTCAACGCTCCTCAGTGCGAGCAACTTAGAAAGCAGGTACGAGCGACTTCAGTGCGCTAGGTTGCAAAGCGTGAAGTTGCAGATTGCGAAAATGTGCGTCAAAATGTTGCTGGGTCTAGTGATTGTTGCACTTCGCTTTCTTTCCCTTGCGATTTGACAGACCACGAACCAACTTCCAGCCAGGCAAACCGAATCAGCGTAAGCGAGTCGCATCGCATAGTCTCTCATTTCGAAATGAACGGCTGGATTCAGGCGGCATGCTGAATGCAGCCGTCGTGCGACACTTGTTGCGCTAGCTCGTTCCGCGCCAAGGCGCTCTCCGCTAGGGAAACATTGAACGGAAACAGTTATGGACTCGTGAAGAAACGAAATCTGATAATCTTTATCAGTTGATATGATACACAAGCACTATTCTACCCAGTGAGTAATGTATTGTATTTGGTGGTAACTTTTCCCAGGGTGTAGATTGGAGGGGTCATCATATTTCTGGAATATAATACCGCTCCTCCGAGTTTATGGTTATTATTCATCCATCCACTATCTTACAACATCTCGTTCTCCAAAGCTTTCTGCTACCCCTCTCAGCACCTCCACAATCCTGCTCATATTCCCCAGCCCCATTCGCCAGGGCACCTCCCCCTGACACAGCAACAGGTGGTAATCCAACCCACACGCATCCGCCAGCCGATGGAACACGGCATACTCGCTCCCCTGCGCCCCCTGCGGCCGCAACTCCAGCACCACGGCACGCGGCGGCATGAACACCATGTGGTTCAGCAGTGGGGCGTGCGGGGCCACAAACACGCGCGCGCGGTTGAACGTGCGCTTCACTGTCACCAGGTCCAACGCGGCTGAGCCCCCCACTGTGCGCAGGCGCCGCGCTCCGAATGCTTCCACGAGGGCGAGATGCAGGGCTGCTAGCTCCTCCGCTGTGCCCGCTCCTGGCCTCTTGCCCCACACCACCACCCAGTCGTCTGTTGCCTCTACTGCTGCTGCTGCTGTTGCTGCTGCTGCTGCTGCAGCATCTGCTTCTGAAGGTGCTCGGAGAGTGAAGTCTGGATTGAAAATGGGGAAGCCATTGCTGCAGTAAGGGGCAGGAACGGGCGGAAGGAGCAGAAGAGTAGGTCAGGTCAGGATATAGAAAGTTTGAACAGGGAAACCAAGAGGGATAGAAAAGTCAGCGAGCCAGAAATCGTAAATCAGAAAAAGGGAGAGCAAGCAGAAACAAGGGGAAAGTGATGGGAGATTGAGGGATGGGGCGGGGAAGGAGGGTGAGAGGAAGAACAAGTGAATGGATGGAAAAAAAAGGCGTATGTGTGTGAATAAGAGGGAAAGGGAGAGAGGAGAAAAGAGAGGTCCAGGTCCAGGAAAGAGGAGGGAGGAGGGAGGAGGGAGGAAAGAGGAGGGAGGAGGGAGGAGGGAGGAAAGAGGAGGGAGGAGGGAGGAGGGTGGAAAGAGGAGGGAGGAGGGAGGAGGGTGGAAAGGAGGAGGGAGGAGGGAGGAGGGAGGAGAGAGGGGAGGAAGGGGAAAGGGGAGGGAGCGTACGGCGGCACCAGGTAGTGTTGGCGGAGTGCCTGCCAGAGAGCTCGGCTGGGCTTGTGGCAGCGCTGGTGCACCGGCTGTAGCAGAATGTCTGAGGGGATGGGGATGGGGATGGGGATGGGGATGGGGATGGGGATGGGGATGGGGAGAAGGAGGGCGAGGGGAGGAAGGGGTGCTAAAGGAAAGGGCATTGGTACACTTCCCGTCAATCCCTTGTGAGCATTACTATCACACAACCAATCATCCTATGATCATTCGACCACCACTTTAAACAAATAGCCTTCACAAACACGTACAGCCACCAAACGGCAGTCTCTCTGCCATATACCCACACAACTGCCCACTAAAAGGCACAGACATATTATGAGCACGAGCACGTAAGCATTGCATGACGTGCAGGTGTAAAGGGGCACATGATGCACGCACCAACGAGAACAACATCGCGGCCTCTCAGCTCCCTCACATCCATCTGCCCAAAGTCCAAGCCAGTCACCTCCGGCCCCAGCAGCAGCAGCGCCCCCTCCTGCGACGAATGCACCCCCTCCCCTTCCCCCTCCCCCCCTCGCCCTCCCTTCCCAAAAAACCCCGACAGCCCCTTCCTTCTCCCCCTCCCTCTCCCCCTCGCCCCCCACCCACCGCCACCCCCCGCATCCCCCTCCCGGCAGTGCCGACGAGGAAGGCCATGAGGGGCATGGCGGCGAGGGAGGAGTGCAGGGCGAGCAGCAGCGGCAGGTAGTGCACGAGGGCGTCGTTCGCGTGCAGGGGGTGCGGCAGCACCAGGTTCACTGCCAGGGGGAGGTGCAGGTTGGGGCGCGGGACCGACGCCCGCGTGTACGGCTGCTGTTGTTGAAGCTGCCGCTGCTGTTGCTGCTGGTGGTGGTGTTGCTCTTGAATGTCAGAGCTTGGGTTGGTGTGGGAGTCGGAGGGAGCAGGGCAGGCGTTGGAGTGGAAGAGAGTGGTGCCGTTGAACACTCGCCCCCACGCGTCCACTCGCACACTCTCCAGCCGAAACACCTGCGAGTGGGGGGAAGGAGGGGCGGGAAGGGGGAGAGGGGGGAGGCGAGAGGAAGGCATGACATGAAGGGAAGCGGGAATGGACGAGCAGTGTGGGAGGGGGGGGGGCAATGAGCTGCACGGCTGGGAGAGGCAGGACCCAGTTGCTCAACTGCTTGCCTGCCTTCCTGCTCACTGTTATTGCAAACCACACTTATCATCCCTCACACTCTTTCTCCCTTCATGAAAGACCCACTTCATGAAAGACCCATTGCGACAACCCTCCTCCCTCCCAGAGCCCTCATCCCACAGCCCTTTCCCCTCTCGCCCTCATCGCCTCTACTCATCCATTCCTCGCACACCCTCACCTCCACGCTCCTGCATCCATCTCCTCCCCTCATACTCTTCCCCTTGCCTTTCCCTCGTCTCTTGTTCTTCCACCAACGCCATTCTCCCTCCCTGTGCCTCCTTTTAACAGCCGCAGTCCCCTCAAATCTCGTATCCACTCACATCATTTCCCCCCCCATTGCCCTGCTGCCCCTCTCTCAACCCCCTTCCCCCCTCGGCACCCTCACCGCTTCCCCCCTCCCGCACCCCCACCTGGCTCATCCACTGTGGCAGCAGTTCAAAGTCCGCCTCATGCCCGCACAATGCACTGCGCGCTGCTGCTGCCGCTGCCCTCCCCGCCGCCTTACCGCCGCTGCTGCCACTGCCAGCACCGCCAAGAAGCAGCACCAGCACCACCAGCAGCAGACGTGGCAGCGGCAGCAGAGGTGTTGCCGGCAGCGCCAGGGCCGGTGCGAGGGCAGGTGGAGGGGGTGCGGGGGCGGGCGAGCAAGGGGTCGTGCAGGCCTTTGTTCCAACACACCGCCACGCCACTCAACTCGCCCGCACAGCTGCCAAACACCGGACACTCCTCCCCCACACACACCCCCTCGCCCTCCCCACCTCCCGTCACCCCCACCCCGCTGCTGCTGCTGCTGCTGCTGCTGCTGCTGCTGCTGCTGCTGCTGCTGCTGCTGCTGCTGCTGCTGCTGCTGCTGCTGCTGCTGCTGCTGCTGCTGCTGCTGCTGCTGCTGCTGCTGCTGCCGTTGAGCACGCGCGCGGTGCTTGCTTGCAGCGAGCGAGTGGATGCCGCGGCTCTGGCGGCCTTGCGGCGTTTGTACAAGTCCAGATGCAAAGGAGTCAGCGCTCCCCGCTTCGCTCTGTGCCGCCGCCACCACCCTCCCTTGCCACCAGACGTCTCACCGCCGCCGCCCACACCCGCCCTCTCGCTCCCGCCACTCCTCTCCCCTGCACCCGCCCTCCCACTCTCGTCTCCCCTACTACTGCTGCTGCTGCTCACACCGCTTCTGTTCGTCATGCCACTCGAACCACCTCCTCCCAAAGCCTTCGCGCTTCCTTCGCCTTTTCCAATATTTGAACCTGAGTTTCCCGATTGTGCTCTTTCTACAAGTGATTTTCCAGTCTTATCCCCACTGTCGCTCCCCCCTTTCCCCGCACCCGCGCTTGCTGTTCCCCCGGACCCCTTGTCCGTCCCCGCGCCACTTGCGCCACTCTTCCCAGCTCCCGCATCTCCTCTGCCCGCCGCTGGCGGTTTCTTGCTCCCCCCCCGCCCCCGCCTTCTTCTCCGCGCCCCCGCCCGCGCCAATCTGCGCCGTTTTGTTTCCCCCTTTGGCGGCCCCCGGCTTCGGCTGCGCCTGCGTCTGCGCCTTTAACTTGGCCGCGCGCTTCCGCGCGCGCCGCTTGCGCCCCCAGCGTTTCCCCAGGCGGTCGCGCGGAACGACGTGCGGGTGCGCGGTGAGTCCGATCTTCCACGGAAACACGTGCCTGTGCCGCTCCCACTTCACGAACCCGCGGTGCCGCGTCTCCGATATAAGCTCTTTCTGCTCCGCGAAACCCACTAAGAGCTGCAGCACGAGCACCCAGTAGACGAATCCGAGGACGAGACACAGCAGCAGCAGCCACGACCCGATCCGCCCTCTGCCGCCGCCGCCGCCGCCGCCGCCGCTGCTGCTGCTGGGGCCGGGAAAGAAGAAGCGGAGCCACGAGTTGCGGGAGGAGCGGTGTGCGGCGCCGCCGTTGCGCGAGGAGGAGGGATGCGGGGGGCCTTTGCGCTCCCTCATGGGGTGCTGCGCGCTACTGGGGGGCCGCTCCCCCACCCACCCCCCTCCCCTACTGAATGCCTAACCTAGCCCTCGGCTGCGACTCCGCACGTGGGAAGGAACCTGGGAACGCGCGGGTGCATGATACGCGTCTCATGGAGTGCTGTTCCCTCGACGATGATCTAACGTGGCTTCCGAAAAATATCGCACTGGCTTATTCGAGGATAACATGCGCCCGTTAAATAACTCCGGCGTGTATAGATGCCGCGAGTCGGTCCTGCAGGCTGCGTCAGGACTGAGCGACAGGGCGACTGAGCGGCTGGACGACTGAGCGACTGGGCGACTGGGCGACTGGGCGACTGCGCGACTGAGTCGTCACTTCACTTCTTTAGGCGTTGATAGGTCGTTTGACGTCTCACATGATTGGCCGGCACAGCTCTCTAGGGGGAACCACAGGGCAGGGTTGGTGGCGTGTCACACGCTATGAGGGTTGGTTTTTGTTCAAACCAATTTGTATCAAATGGAAAGTTGGAAAGTTGGAATGACTGTTTCGAGCAAGCGTTTTTGTCGGATGATCCAATATCGAACTCGAATTCCAGCACCAGCTGGCAAACCGAACACCCTACCCCCCCCAACCCTTCAACAAACGCACATGCACACCTCCAGATCCAACACTGCTCTGCACTTGCTAGCCTCCGGTATTCGTCCTTACCAAGCCATCATCACATTACGAGCGGGATGGCGGGGCATCCAGGCGATAGCGACACGAGTGCTAGGCTCGTAGTGAGTCGCTCTCTAGCCTCGCCACCACTTCGATCTCTGCTGCCCTTTTCTGTTCCCCCATACGGCGCCTCCATGGCTGGACGTTTCACACCTCTCGTCGTTTCACACCCCACCTTCAAGAAGCTCTTGGTCTGTCCGACAGACTGGTTATCGCAACACGTACGAGTCCGTGAGTTCAGCAGTACCAGTTACGCCAGACAGCATCCCAGTTCGTGATTACAGGGCATGGCTCCGAAAGTGGAGACGGCGGGCGGCGTGGGGGAGCGCGTGGCGGCGTTGGAGGCGAAGCTGAGGGAGCAGGGCGGGGAGATGGCCGCGCTGAAGGCGGAGATTGCGCGGATGAGGGCTGCGGCAGAGCGGCAAGCGGCGGAGGTGGCGGAAGTGAAGGCGACGGCGGTGCACTCGGAGGCGCGCATCAACGACGCCGAGCTGGCGCTCGCCGCCATCAAGGACGAGCGCAAGGCGGAGAAGATCCGCGAGGAGCGCGAGGCGGGCAGCGGGGAAGGGCATGGGGGGGGGGAGATCCGTGAGGGGAAGAGACGGAAGTGGGACGAGGCGGGGAATGAGGAGGAGATGGCAGATGCTCCTGCGGGGGCTGGGCGTGCGGTTATCGCTGGTGATGATGCGGCTGAAGGAGAGCGATATGAGGCAGAAAGGGAGGGCGAAGCGGAGGAGGAGGAGAAAGGCGAAGACCTGGACGACGAGGTGCAGAATCTGCGGGCGCGAGTAGAAGCGCTGGAGGAAACGAACACTGGAGGAGGCAAGTTGTGGGAGGTGAGCGCTCTCAATCCGTGCGTTGCGCTTGTGCAATTAGCAGTTTGCATGGCTCGCGTGAATTACACCTGTTGGTACAGCCTGTTGGTGTGCTCTTGGTACAGCCTGCTCTTGTTAGGCTGGTGCATTACACTTGACGCTCATGCCATCCGTGCTTCAACTTCCTCATGTCGTTGAGTCACGCGTATCTCTCTGCATTGCATGTCTGGCCTTGTATCCCTGTGCGTGGGCTGCAGGAACTCATCGCAACGTGGGTCGAGGTTCTTCCAGGCAGGACCCACGTGGATCTCATTAGGGCTTCCTTTGTCACCGACGATGCTCTCTCTCGACTCACCTCCCTGCGATCTCTCACGCGCCTCAGCCTACGAGAGTCCATTGGGTTCACTGCAGAGGGGGTGACGCAGCTCTTCCCCCTCACAGCTCTCACTTCTCTGGATTTGTCGGCGGCTACAGTCATAACCGATGCCTCTCTTGAAGGCATTGGCAGCCTGCTGGCTCTTAGCACACTTTGCCTTGGTAAAACTTATATAACTGATGAGGGAATCAAGCGGCTCCAAGGGCTGTCACAGCTCACAGATTTATCTCTTTACGTATGCCCATCTGTCTCCTCTGCGAGCATGGTGCATGTGGGCAAGTTGACAGCACTGACATCCCTCAGACTGGACGACAGCGCGGTGACAGAGGATGGACTGCGGCACTTGACTGCTCTCACCTCACTCAAGCTCCTCACTCTGCCTTCAGGAGTGACTGATTCCGGCATGAAGTACCTGAGGAACATGAAACTTCTAGAGACACTGGGAGTGGGCTATGCTAATATTACTGCTGCTGGTGTCAAATGGCTCAACGGGCTTAAGAGCCTCCAGGTGATTGGAACGGAAGCTGAAGATGTGGCGGGCTTGATCAGGGACAACTTTCCAGGAATGGTTGTTACAGAAGATCCTCTCTGATTGGAAGCATTTGTTTTGTGTAAGATGTCTGGTGGTGCCTACCGTATCTCAGTTGTATCAAACGTGTTGGATGCTAATTGTAGTTCATAAGAAAACACCAAAATGTTTTCAATAGTAATGTACTGGATAGAATACCTCATGAAGACTAAGGATCCCGCGCCTAGCTAGGTTTGCTCGTTATATGTACTTTAGTCACCTTTTTATAAAAGGTGAAGAAGTAATAGCCTTTGTTATTAACGTCCATTCATTCACTTCAATAACAACTCATAACAAAATCAAGAATCAAGGTTACAGACTGAAAAGCCACAATGCTAAAGCGGAGAAAACCAAGCGCGGTGCGATTTGTGGAAAATTTGCAGCCTTCAGTTCGACGCTCACGTGGCTAGCTCGGAGTGGTTGTGGAGTCCGCTGTCTGCAACTCGTTTTCCCAGTACAAATCGTTCCCAATTCAGCACTTTCCCGTGATTTTGCTGGGGAAAAATAGGAAAGAACAGGTGACTCTACATCATTTTATTCTTCATAACAGTCATTTCTGGAGATCGGGTTGGGCTCGTCACGACATTCGTAGCACCTGTTTTGCCTCCAGCCTTGATAGTTAGGGAAATGTTTTTACGGGCATCTGCGGGTTTGGTGGGGGCTCTTCGTCACAGCAGCCACGGCAGGCATTGGTGTGGCAACATTGCAGCCACCAACGCGACAGTGACTGATCAACCCAGCAAGCAAGCTAGGCATGTATTTTCAGCAGCACATCGATGTGAGCTGTGCCTTGTGTGTGTTGTGAGTGAGACACGGCAGGTATCGGTCGATAAATAACGTGTGCTCGTTTCGCGAGCGCCGCATCAGGCGGCGATCATCAGCCGCCGGCTCGTATTTCCCTTCCTACGCATCCGCATTGCGCCGCCGCGCAATGGCGTCTATAATTAAGTCCTATCTCGCAGCGTACAACCTCGCGCAAGCTCTTGGATGGTACGTGTCACCCACGAACCAATCACTCAGCCTGTCGGCACGTCATTTGCAACCTTCTTGTTGAAGCACACACTTCCAGAGTAGCCCCTCCGCTTTACGCTCTTCGCCTCCCTCCGCATTTCCTCTCCCATTGATTTTTGCCTCTTCCGATTTTCCTATTTTCATGTTTTTTTTCCTTCGCTCTTTTTTTCTCGTCGACTGCTTCCGCGGTTTATGCTTCCCGCGATCCGCTGCACCCCCGTCCGCGCTTTCCGAGTGCGTGCAGGACCGTGGCTCTCGTGCTGCTGCTGCACGATGCAATCGTATCGGGGTCCGTTAGTAACGCGTATGCTGTCGCGGGCCCAATTGTCGGTGAGCTGCCAAGTTCCCCGTAGCATCACCGCGCACCACACATCGCGCACCACACATCGCGCACCACACGCCATGCACCACACGCCATGCACCACACGCCACTGTACATCCATAGCCCTTACAGGATGAAATAATATCTCGTCGTACTGCGCATTACGACATGCCTCAGTCTCGCGCGGTTTGCTCCACCGTTTGTGTCGTGTCGCGTTTGTGTCTGGATCGAGTCGCACTCCACCATGCCGCCGCGTTCGGTGGGCTTGTCAGGTGCCGTGGAGTTTTCTCGGGAGCACACGTCATAATCGTGCTCGTTCCCTCCCTCCCTCCCTCCTCCTCCCCCTCCTCCTCCTCCTCCTCCTCCTCCTCCTCCTCCTCCTCCTCCTCCTCCTCCTCCTCCTCCTCCTCCTCCTCCTCCTCCTCCTCCTCCTCCTCCTCCTCCTCCTCCCCCCCCTCTCTCCTCCTCCCCATCTCGCTTCCTATCCTCGTCTCTCCCCTATCCCCTCCCCGCCGCTCCTCCCCTTCCCCTCGCCTGCCCTCCGCCCCGCCCCGCCATCAGGCTACTGTCAGCTGGCGTCAGTATTGGAGGTGCTCCACGCCGCCATAGGTGCGAGGGGGAGCGGGAAGACAGGGGGAAGTGGGGGAGGGAAGGGGGGGGGGGTGGGGGGGAGAGGGGGTGTTGTCCTGTCCCACGGGGACATCACAACATAGGGTACAGTAGGTGCCGGGAATACGAGGCCGTGAGTCGCACGACATATTATACCTTGGCCGCGGCGCGCCTGGTACCTTGGCTGGTGGCATGGCTGGTGGCATGGCTGGTGGCATGGCTGGTGGCATGGCTGGTGGCATGGCTGGTGGCACGGCTGGTGGCATGGGTTATTTCATATAGAGCGCACGGGTACAGTTAGGAGGGATGTCCTGCGCGTGCATGCCACTCACTCACTTACTCACCGCCATGCCTCTTATCCTGCTAGTTCGCTTGGCCTCCCTTCCCGGCCGCAGTTTCACCTCCCTCCGTCCAACCAACCCTTCTACCTTTTAGCCCCTCGGCTTTGCTGTTTCGCTGCTTTTCCCCTTTGCTTTGTTCAACGTCTAGCCTTTCTTCTGTTCATCTTCACTCCATCTTTCACTCCTTCTCCTCGCCATCACCTCTAATACGTACTTTGCTGCATACATCCACACCACACCGTATTCCCTACTCCCAACCATCACTCCCTCCCCTCTGCCTCTCCCTTCCATTCCCCGCCCTTTGCTCACGTGCTGTCCCAGTCATGAGTCTCAATGTCACATCAATCTATCGTGCGCACGATTCCTTCACACTCTCCCACTCACTCCAACCCCACTCACTCCAACCCCACTCACTCCAACCCCACTCACTCCAACCCCACTCACTCCAACCCCACTCACTCCAACCCCACTCACTCCAACCCCACTCACTCCAACCCCACTCACTCCAACCCCACTCACTCCAACCCCACTCACTCCAACCCCACTCACTCCAACCCCACTCACTCCAACCCCACTCACTCCAACCCCACTCACTCCAACCCCACTCACTCCGCACCCACCTCTCTCCTTCCCCTCCCTTCCCGCCCCTTAGCCCCACTCCTATCCTTCCCCCTGGCGTCAAAACCTCCATCACCCCACGCCCCCAATCCCCCCTCCACCAATCCCCCCTCCACCTCCACCTCCCCTCCCATCCCCATCTCTGCTCCCCTCCCCACGTGCAGGCCTGGTGCACAGTGGTGTGCTGACAGCGGCCATGCAGTGGAGCGGCCGCTCGAGGCGACTTTGAGTCGACTCAAAACGTCCCCCCCCCCCCCCCCCCCCCCCCCCCCCCTTCCTCCCCGTTCCTCCCCTTCCGCCCGCCACCCACCAGGCCTGGTGCACAGCGGTGTGCTGACAGCAGCCATGCAGTGGAGCGGCCGCTCGCACGTGCTCTTCACAGTGCTGGGCCGCCAGCCGCAGGTGAGACGTCTTGAGGCGTGGTTGGTTGTTCTTCTCATAGGACCCCTGCACGAGTGAAGGAGCTTGGAGCGCCCGCTCGCACGTGCTCCTCACCGTGCTGGGCCGCCAGCCGCAGGTGAGATGAGAGAACCACCACCGCGGTGCATGGCTGCTCTGCTGCTCTCATAGAACCCATGGTTTATGAAGGCCATCCGCCCATCTCCTGCACGAGTGAAGGAGCTTGTAGCGCCTGCTCACTCGCTCGTGCTCCTCGCCATGCTGGGCCGCCAGCCGCAGGTGAGAGAGACACTGTGCCGTGCCACGGGTGGGTGAGGCATGGCTGGCTGCTCTTCTTTGCTCATAGAACCCAGGGTGAGGCAAGGCCATCCGTCCTCCCCTGCACGAGTGAAGAAGCTTGCAGCGGCCGCCCGCTCGCTCGCTCGCTCGCTCGCACGTGCTCCTCACCGTGTTCGCCCGCCCGCCTGCCACAGGTGATACTTTGTGGGGCGTGGTTACACTGTCATAGAATCCAGGGGCAGGCAGGCAAGCAAGGCCATCCATCCATCCACCCCCTACGCAAGTGAAGTGAAGGAGCGAGGAAGAGTGGCCGGCCGCTCGCTCCCTCGAGTTCTATTCGTTGACCTCACAGTGCTGGGCCGCCTGTATGTCGCCAGTGCGAGTCGTGTCGTGACACCGTGCCGCATGGCTGGCATTTGTGATCCGCAGGGAGAGCCAGCCAGGCAGGCAGGCACAGTGCATCATTTGCGACCCAACCTCATCCTGCCTGCCTTGTAACCACGTATTTGTCGAAAAGGGGGGTGGGGGTTGGGTGGGGTGGAGGAGAGCCAGTTGACCTAAGTGGGAAAGGGGCGTGCTGGGCTGGGCTGACTGCTGCAGGCGAGAGGAGAAACGGTGCTGCTCTTTGAATAGTTCCCTGGGCCAATTCCATGCACGAGTGTGTGTGTGGGGGGGGGGGGTGTGAATGAGTGATTGAGTGAGTGTGAGTGTGAGTGTGTGTGCGTGTGAGTGCGTGCATGTGGGAGACGTGAGGTGGTATGGGGCCAACCGCAGGTCCGCTGCCCCCCTGACCATACTGCCTGGGCTCACTGCGTTTGGTTGAGCTGCCCGCGTTGACTGGGTGGGTTGACAATGTTGACTGTGCTGCAGCTCAGCTCTGCTGCCTGCACACAGCGCTTTTGGCACCGAGAAGAGAGCACTGTCTCCCCATATTCTCACCATCAGTGAGACGTCTCAAAACCATTTTTACTACATTCTAACCATCAGTGAGAGCACTGTCTCCCCATATTCTCACCATCAGTGAGACGTCTCAAAACCATTTTTACTACATTCTCACCATCAGTGAGAGCACTGTCTCCCCATATTCTCACCATCAGTGAGACGTCTCAAAACCATTTTTACTACATTCTCACCATCAGTGAGAGCACTGTCTCCCCATATTCTCACCATCAGTGAGAGCACTGTCTCCCCATATTCTCACCATCGGAGGATGGTCCTCCCGTGCTCCATCCCTCCCCCATATTCTTCCTCGCCTTGACTCCCTCCTTCCTTTCACCCGCTATCTCTTTCCCCCTCCCCCCATCACCCTGCCTTTCCCTCCCTCTCCCTCTCTCCTCAGCTCCTTCCTCCTGTCCCTTCCGCCCTCGTTCCTTGCTCCTCAACTCAACACCAGGACATCAGCTCCAGGACCAGGTGCCCGTCTGCATCCTCCTGCCCAGTGCCCACCAGGTGCTCGTGAGTCACTCTCCGAGCCGAGGTACCTCATAAGTCAACTCAATAGTCACCCGGTCCTCTCCCTCCCTCTGCCTCCCCCCCACTCACCCATCCCCTTTTCAACACGTACTGCGCACATCAGCTCCAGAACCAGGTGTCAGTCTTCATCCTCCTGCTCACCTGACCACTCTCTGAGGTATCTCTGGAGTCAACTCAAAAGTCACCCCCTCCTCTCCTTCCTTCCGCCTCCCTCCCCCTCCCCCTCCCCCTCCCCCTTCCCCATGTACTGCGCACATCAGCTCCAGAACCAGGTGTCAGTCTTCATCCTCCTGCTCACCTGGTCGCTCTCCGAGGTGCGCCCCTCCTCGCCCCCCTCTCTCGCCGTTCTTGTGCATTGTTGGGCAGCTTGCTATGCAGGGCAGCAAGCAAGGTGGGGGCAGCAAAGTGGGGGAAGCAGGGGGGGGGCAGCAAAGGGGGGGGGAGCAGGGGGGGGGCGCCAGCAAAGGGGGGGCAGCAGGGGGGGGGGAGCAGGGGGGGGGCAGCAAGGTGGGGGCAGAGAGGAGCACAGGGCAGGCACGGGTGCAGGACAGGACAGGACGTACTAGTTGGATGTCAACATATCTCTGGTTCGGACGTACTAGGCACAGGGCAGGTTCTTCCCCACAGGGCGTGGCCCTTCATCCCCTCTCTCCTCACCTCACTCCTCTCCCTCTCCATTCGCAATGCTATGCTCCAGTGTGGCAGTGCCTGAGCCTGTGCGCGTGCGTGCTAGTTATCTGCTGGTCAGTCGCTAATCGCATGGCTCACTCCTTTCCCTTGCTGCTTCTGGATAGAGATATCAGGCATCAACCATATGACGCTGTGTACCGCTGCATCTGCCACCACAGTACCACCTGCTGACTCCTGCCCCTCAACCTACCGATTCCGTCTTATCCACCTCCTTTCCTACCCACCCACCTCCCCTCCTACCCACCCACCTCCCCTCCTACCCACCCACCTTCCCTCCTACCCACCCACCTCCCCTCCTACCCACCCACCTCCCCTCCTACCCACCCACCTCCCCTCCTACCCACCCACCTCCCCTCCTACCCACCCACCTCCCCTCCTACCCACCCACCTCCCCTCCTACCCACCCACTTCCCCTCCTACCCACCCACCTCCCCTCCTACCCACCCACCTCCCCTCATACAACCCTGCCCCCACCTCATCTCCTACCCCACTCCCTCCCTACCCATCTCCCTTCCTACCCGCCGCCCCTCCTTCCCCTCTTCTCCCCCCCTTCATGAAGGTGATCCGCTACCCCCAGTACGCCTTGTCGCTGCTCGCCTGCTGCCCTCACTGGCTCACGTGGCTCAGGTGAGACGCGCCTTGCCCTGGCCTCCCTTTTTGAGGCGCCTCATAAGTCTGCATGGCTCACCTGGCCCAGGTGAGCTGCTCCGTGCCCTGCCCTCGCCATCTCGCATGGCATCTCCGTGTTGCTGCTGCCTGTGTGGCTGTGGGCGCGCGCACATGCGTGTCCGTGTGTGGGGAGAGGGGAAGAGGGGGAGTGGGAGGGTGGGTTGGCCCCCTCGTTGCAGTGTTGTTGCATTGGCGAGGGGCAGACTGGCCTGGCCCTAGCAGGTGGTTCATGTGGTTTGCGATAAGAAACGCAGGCAGAATCGGATAGATGCACGAGAGGGGAGGAACAACAGGGAACGAATAGGAGGGGCCACAGAGGTATGGAGGAGGATGGAGGACAGGGCAGGGAGGGGGAGGCTCAGGCTTCGTGGCCATATATGCATGTGGTGTGGAGAGCTCGTCATGCCATGGCTGCATGCGCGCTGTCCTCACCACACTTGATCGCCTCCCAGCACACATATTTCGCGCCCGCTTCCCCTTCGCCGTTGCACCCTCTGCTTTCAAGCTTCTCCAGCAATTCCCACTCCTTCCCCCCTCCTCCAGCACTCCAGCTCTCCGTTTCCCCCTTCCACACGCACGCACTTGTCATCCACCTCTCTTTTGATCCATCCATCCCCTACTCCCCTCACACGCACGTGCATGCAGGTACACGGCGTTCATCCCACTCTACCCCATCGGAATCTTCGCAGGAGAGAGTGAGTAGAGCACTGCGTCCGCCTCGCCTGCCTTACATCCATCCGACTAAGAGAGCATCATGCCGCTCGCCCGATCTCCCTCCCCTTGTCTCCCTTGCCTCTCCCTTGCCTCTCCCTTGCCTCTCCCTTGCCTCTCCCTTGCCTCTCCCTTGCCTCTCCCTTGCCGCTCCCTTCTCCCGTCGCCCTTCTCCGTTTTCTCGATTCCCTTCCCCTTTTCTGCCTGTCCTCCCTTCCTGTGCATGTTTGCAAGGACATTGTTTTCGCCTCATACCATCAGCACAGGACATTCATTCTGCATCCCTCACACACCTCCTCTCTTCCATCACCGTACCCTCACTACCCCTCGCTTTACCCTCCCGTGTACACACCACCTGTCCCCTTACACCATCCAGATCACCCCATCCCAAACCACCCCCCTTATTATCTCCCCGCTCCCTCTCAACCCCTTCACCATTACCCCTTGCCAAATGCTTCCCCACCCCTCCACTCCCCCCTCCCCTCTCTCCTCCCCCGCCCTCCCTCCCCTCCCCCTTTCACCCAGTGGCGCTCATGTACAGCTCGCTGCCACTGATACAGCCGGAGAAGCCCTTCCAGCACATCTCAAACCAGCGGTCTCACTGTTACCCTCTCTTATCCGCCCCTACCAACTGCCCTGCCCTTCTCCCCCTTTCACCCAGTGGCGCTCATGTACAGCTCGCTGCCACTGATACAGCCGGAGAAGCCCTTCCAGCACATCTCAAACCAGCGGTCTCACTGTTACCCTCTCTTATCCGCCCCTACCAACTGCCCTGCCCTTCTCCCCCTTTCACCCAGTGGCGCTCATGTACAGCTCGCTGCCACTGATACAGCCGGAGAAGCCCTTCCAGCACATATTCGGCTACGTGCCCTTTGAATACTACCACTTCATCGTTGTGAGTTCCCCCCGCCCCTGCTGCTCTCACCCGCCCCTGCTGCTCTCACCCGCCCCTGCTGCTCTCACCCGCCCCTGCTGCTCTCATCTGCCCCTGCTGCTCTCACTCACTTGCCCTTGCAGCTGTGAATCGCTTGTGGCCTCACTTGCCACCTTTTCTCACCCCTGCCCACCCCCGCTCACACCTGCTTATTGTTGCAAAATTGTCATGTCTCCACCACCTAATTCGCTGCTCCAAGGCCTGCTGCTGTGCCTCCCATTCCTCTGTATGCATATGTATCCCATTCTATTCCCCCAGTCTCCACCTTTCATTGCTGACCTTCCCATTCCCCACCTTCCCATTTCCCACCTTCCCATTCCCCACCTTCCTTGTCATTCCCCACCCTCCATTCCCCACCCTCCATTCCTCACCTTTCATTCCCTACCTTCCGTCCCTCACCCTCCATTCCCCACCCTCCATTCCCCACCTTTCATTCCCCACCTTCCGTCCCTCACCCTCCATTCCCACTCCCAACCTTCACATTTTTTCACGGCAAGGTCTGCTGCTGTGCTACCCGTTCCTGTGGATGCACCTGTATTGCCACATCTAACCCTCTCTACCACTCCATCCCGCACCCTTGTACCCTCCCGTCCGGCACCTTTTTATCCCCCTCTCTCTTTCCCCACCACGCCAGGGCCTCTTGCTGTGCTACCCGTTCCTGTGGATGCACCTGTACCGCCACATGTTCCGGCAGCGACGCAAGAAGCTCAGCGGGGGGAGCAAAGGCGCAGGCGCGGGCAAGCGCACGGGGAGAAGCAATGAGGAGAAGGGCAAGGGGAAGGTGGAGTGAGGAGCCTGCGAGTCCTGTGGGAGAGATTTGAACTGGCACGGATGTGGCGTGCTGCTGCCTTTCATCTCCTATGCATGTATCTACCTGCGTGCCTGTGCATGCATTTATTTTGCAGCATGCACTGCGCTCACTTGCTCCGTGTTCCATGGTTCGCCGTGTCGAGAATCAAGCACTCTCAGCAGTGACAAAGAGAGAAAGCAGTGGAGAAGGTACTACACGGGGTTGGGGGGGAAGAGGCTGCAAGTAAAGCAAGGCTGTGTCACGTGTGTATGGGGGGAAGGGTATTTCTCCCATCATTCTTAGCTCTCTGCATGGGTGGGTGAGTTGTGTAGGAGCAGTGGCAGAGTAAGGAATGGGCACTGTCCAGAGGATGTATTTAATTATTGGTCTAGCAGGTGCATGATATGGATGGAAGAGTATGATGGCATGATGGGATGGGTCACTGCATCTGCTTGATTGTATCAGCAGCATGCTGTATTTATGTTCGTAGAATTCAGCTTGGTCTTTCAGGGGAGATGATTGTTTAGCTCCAGCTGTAAACAGCCGCAGAGCCTCGAGTAGCATTGAACTTCGTGTAGAACATTTATTTGATAAGACGAGCAAAACATCAATTTAATACGGGCCTACATGTCAAATGTTGTAGCCTATAGTGAGGTTTGTCTTAGGGGGTACAAAACTTAGGGTTAGCTATATGTACCCCAACCAACATCAATGCATCATCCATTCCTCATTCTGACATGGTATCAGTTAGGTTAGGATCCTGTGGGATCCCGTTCCTCCGTTCTCCGTTCGTATCTCCCGAGCCTGATCCTACCTCTCGTTCGTACCGGTTCCGTTGTTACCGCGCCTAGTGCCGAGCCTAGCGCCCTTCCCCCCGTCGCCTAGCGCCCTTTCCCCCCCGTCACGTCGCGCCCTTTTCCCCCGTTGCGTCGCGCCCGTTCCCCCCCGTCGAGTCGCGCCCTTTCCCCCCGTCGCGTCGCGCTCTTTCCCCCCGTCGCGTCGCGCCCTTTCCCACCGTCGCGTCGCGCCCTTTCCCCCCGTCACGTCGCCCTGCCCCGTCCCGTTGCCCCTGCCCCGTCCCGTCGCCCTGCCCCGTCCCGTCCCGTCGCCCCGTCCCGTCCCGTCGCCCCTGCCCCGTCCCGTCCCCGTCCCGTCCCGTCGCCCCTGCCCCGTCCCGTCCCCGTCCCGTCCCGTCCCGCGGCCCTGCCCCGTCCCGTCCCGTCGCCCCGTCCCGTCCCGTCGCCCCTGCCCCGTCCCGTCCCCGTCCCGTCCCGTCGCCCTGCCCCGTCCCGTCGCCCCGTCCCGTCTCCCTACCCCGTCGCGTCGCCCTCCCCCGTCGCGTCGCCCTGCCCCGTCGCATCGTGCCCGCCCTTTCCCCCGTCCCGTCGACCCTACGCCCTGGCCCGTCGCTCTAGCCCGCTCTTCCGCTGCGACTAAGTCCCACCTGAACCCTAATTTGCCTCTTACCTCCTGCTGTTACTCGCCTGCTCGTTCGCGTTAGTTTTCGCTATGGCGACTCCGCGAGTTCTTCGTTTCGACGCTGACGGCAGACCTCTTGACTTTTCCGTCTGGCTCCTTCGCGCTCGCCGTCTGTTAGAGAGTCAAGTCCAGGGGGGCGAGACCCTCTGGTCGCACGCTACTGGTGACCTCCCCGAGCCCCCCGAGCCTGCCGCTTTAGGTCCTGCCCCTGACGATGCTGCTACGGCTCGCTTTGCCCGTCAGCGCGCTGACAGGACGGCTTGGACGTCGCGTGACGCTGCGGCCTGCATCGCACTCAGCAGCCTCCTCCCTGAGTCAGAGGAGGTCCACTTCACTCAGGTTCGCACCGCTGCTGCGTACCTCACTGCGATTAAGGCCCGCTACTCTACTCCCGCTACTGTCTCTCTTGGCCGTCTTTTCCTCCCGTTCCTGTTTCCTGATCTCGCCTCGTTTGAGCGCTCTGCTGACTTGATCGCTCACCTCCGCTCGCTCGACGCTAGTTACCGCGCTGCTTGCACTGAGGCACAGCTTGCACTGCTTCCTCCCCCCATGGCGATTACTATCTATTTCATCGCCACTAGCCTCCCTGACCGCCTTGCCTCCGTACGTGACGCGCTCCTGCTGAAGCACCCTAGTGAGCTGACAGTTGAGGTCCTTGAGTCTGCGCTCAAGGACGTCGAGAGCAACCTTCGCTCGGTAGCTGCCGCCTCTGGTGCTGTGCCCCCCCCACTCTTCCACGGGTGCACAGTCCCGCAGTTACCCACCTTCACTGCCTCTCTTGCCACTGCCGCTACTGACGCGACTGCAGCTGCTGTTACGACTGCGTCGCGGTCCCGCGGCAAGGGGGGCAAGAAAGGTGGTTCTGGTGGAGGTGGAGGCGGAGGTAGCGGAGGTAGTGGGGGTGCTGTTGCGACTGGCGGTGGTGGGAGTGCAGCGTCTGGAGAGACCTCTCGTGCAGCGGCTGGTGACTCCACTGCGCCTGCTGGTGGTGGCGACACCCGAGCTCGTCAGTCGTCTCCTGTACTGCCGGCCCCGCTAGGTGGAGCAGCGGCGTGGTACCAGGCTCAGCGTCAGCAGCGGCTTCAGCAGCAGCAGCAGCCCCTCTCCTCCCAGCAGCCTCAGCAGCAGCAGCGTCAGCAGCTGGCTCCGGGGTCGGGGCTGCGTCAGCCCCAGCGTGGTGCTGCTTACCCTCCCTGCACCTATCAGGTTCTGACAGGTCCTCGTCGGGGCCACCCTTGTGGCCGCTTTCACCCCCCTGGTCAGTGCTTTGCTCAGCTCACTGACACGGTCCGGTTGGCCTACGGGGTTGGCGGTCCTGCCCTTGACTGGCTTCCTCTGGTTCAGCGCTACGGCTCCGCTCTGTGGGGCATGTCTGCTGAGCAGTTAGTTGATCTGATTGGTGCTCCTCATGCTATGTATGCTGTTGTTGACTCTAGTGTTTCTGACTCTGCTTACTCTGGTGTTGTTAGCTTAGGTGCTAGCCTTGCTCAGTTGCCTGTTGCTAGTGTAGGTTCTTGTGTAGACTCTAGTCCAGCGGCTACCTCAGAGGACGGTTCGCTGTCGTTCACGCTGGACTCTGGAGCCTCTCACTGCTTCTTTCGTGACAGCACGACACTTACGCCTCTTCCTGCGCCTGTTTCTGTGGCGCTGGCTGATCCCACTTCGGGACCAGTCACCGCGCGTCACACTACCACCTTGCCGTGTCCGGCTGCTCCTTCTGGGTCTCTCACTGGGTTTCACGTCCCCTCGTTCTCCCGGAACTTGGTGGGCGTGCGACCCCTTGTGAGTCAGCACGTGGGTGTGTGGTTTGAGCCTTCTGGAGAGACTGCGGTGTGTGTTGACGGGGACTCTTACCAGCCTCTCGCCACTTTTGCTGCTGAGCCGGGCTCCGGTCTCTACACTCTTCACACTGGCCCGCGCGCTCAGCAGCGACTGCAGCAGCAGCAGCAGCAGCCTCAGCAGCGGCAGCAGCAGCAGCCGCAGCCACAGCGGCCGCCGTCGCAGCAGCCACTCCTCCCAGTTCCTGTCCCTCCCCCTAGTCTCCTCCCTGCGTCTCACCAGGTGGTTCCGTCCCCTCAGGTTGTCGCGTCCAGTCCAGTCGCTGCGTCTTGCTCCTGTCGGTCGCTTGCCCACCCCACCGTTCTGTGGCACCACCGGATGGGACACCCTTCTCTTCCACGTCTGCGTGCTATGTCTAGTCAGCGTCTGGTCTTAGGTCTCCCGCGTGTCTTGCCGTCGCTGCCGCCGTCCCTTGCACCACCGTGCGGTCCTTGCGTCGAGGGTAGGCTGCGTGCCACCCCTCACTCCTCCTCCCTTCGTCCGGCCACCGAGCCTTTTGAGACGCTGCACTTGGACGTCTGGGGCCCCTCTCCTTGCCCTGGCCCTGAGCGTGAGCGTTTCTTTTTGGTGGTCGTTGACGACTACTCCCGCTATACCACAGTGTTCCCCCTGGCGAGGAAGTCTGAGGTGACTTCTACGCTGATCAGGTGGTTGCTTACCACCCAGGACACTCGTGGTCGTCGTGTCAGCTGTCTCCACTCCGACCGCGGGGGCGAGTTTCGCTCCGGCATTCTCGCTGGATTCTGTCGCGAACAGGGCATTCGTCAGTCCTGGACGCTTCCGGAGTCCCCACAGCAGAATGGGGTTGCTGAGCGTCGCATAGGCCTGGTCATGGAGATTGCCCGCACCTCCTTGACTCACGCCCGTGCCCCCCATTTCCTGTGGCCATACGCAGTCAGGTACGCCGCGCACCAGCTGAACCTCTGGCCACGCGTCTCTCGGCCGGAGGCTTCACCGACCAGTCTTTGGACAGGGTCCCCTGGTGTCGCGTCGAGGTTTCGTGTCTGGGGGTGCTTGGCTCTTGTCCGCGACACCTCCGCGGACAAGCTCTCGCCTCGCGCCGTTCCTTGTGTTTTCCTTGGTTTCCCTGAGGACTCCTCTGACTTCACCTTTTACCACCCTCCCTCTCACCGGTTCTTTGACTCCCGTGACGTCCGTTTCGAGGAGTCCACCCCGTACTACGTCAGGTACCCCAGTCGAGGTCTCCCGGTTCCTCCTCCCCCCCTCTTCCTGACAGCCGCTCCCCCGCCTGCTCCCCCGGTACAGCCTCCCCCCCCTGGTCCAGCCCCGTCTGGTGTGTCTCAGGCCAGCCCTCCCCCTTCGGTAGCCCCCCCTGTACAGCCTCCCTCCCCACAGTCTTCCTCGCCGCCTCCTGCAGGTGCTCCCTCTCGGGAGGTTGGTCCTGCGACTGTCCCTGTACAGGTCTCTGGTTCTGGGGGTGCTGGAGTTGGAGCTGAGCCGCGGGTTGCAGAGGACTCTTGTCTTCCGGGGGCTGGTACTGGTCGTGCGGAGTCTGGGGGTGCTGGTGCGGAGTCTGGGGGTGCTGCGTCTGGGGGTGAGGGTGTCCCTTCGGTTTCTGGAGAGCCTGGGTCTGGAGCTGGTGTTGGTGCTGCCTCTGGGGGTGGTGTGCTTGGTGCTTCGGAGGTCGACTCTGGGGCTGCCGCTGCCCCGGACACTACTCCTTCCCCCCTACCCGACCAGGTTCCAGGCTCGTGTTCGCCGTGCTCGTGAGGAGCAGCTGGAGTTGGAGAGAGAGGAGAGAGAGTTGCAGCGGCTCGAGGAGCAGGAGGAGCAGCAGGAGCAGCAGCAGGAGCAGCAGCAGAGGCAGCAGCCGCTGGAGCAGCAGCAGCCACAGCAGCCGCAGCAGCAGCAGCAGCTGCTGCCGTCTCCTCCTCCTGTCTCGGGTCTTCGGACCCTTGGTCTCCCGTCTCCCTCTCCTTCCTCCTCCCCCTCTCCTCCCGTCTCTGGTCCTCCGCTTCCTCCTCCTGACCCCTCTCCCGCTGTTTTCCCTCGTTCTCAGTCTTCGTTGTCTCCTCCTCCTTCTCAGACTTGGGCCTCTCGTCGCTCCCCTCGTGCTCGTCCCTCGTCTCCTGTTCCCTTCACTGACCTTCGTACAGCCTTCCTTTGTTCTCGTCCACCTCGTCCGTCTCCGTCTGTGCTTCCGTCTCCTCCTGAGTCGGCCCTCACTGTGTCGCTTCCTTCCCCTGTCACTGACTACTACCGCACGTACCGTCCTGTTCTCTCTCGTGTTCTCGCCTCTCTTGTTACCCACCCTCGTGCCTCTGTGTCCTCTGTGTCCGCTCTTACTGCCGCAGTCACTGAGTTTGCCTCTACCCGCCGCCTTGACTTCGCCACCGCTCTTGTGGCAGCTCCTCCTTCCAGTCCTCTGGCCGTCGGGGGTGTGTCTGCCCTTGGCTGTGACGCCCTAGAGGACAGGCAGTTTGAGCTAGAGTTCCTGGCGGCCGCTTCCCCTCATCTCTGTGCCATGCTCCTCGCCCCTGAGGGTGACCCCGACGCCCTTGACATTCCGACTCCTCGCACTTACGCTGAGGCAGTGTCAGGGCCTTGGGCCTCTCAGTGGAGAGCTGCCATGGACGCAGAGATGGCCTCCTACAGATCCACAGGCACCTACGTCGATGAGGTTCCCCCTCCGGGGGCGAACGTAGTCGACGGCATGTGGATCTACAGGGTGAAGCGGCCACCGGGATCTCCTCCGGTCTTCAAGGCGCGCTACGTGGCTAGAGGTTTCAGTCAGCGCGAGGGAGTTGACTTCTTTCAGACCTTCGCGCCCACCCCGAAGATGACCACTCTTCGGGTGTTACTACACGTAGCAGCACAGAGAGACTACGAGTTACACTCTCTCGACTTCTCTACTGCTTTCCTTCAGGGCAGTCTTCACGAGGAGGTCTGGTTGCGTCGTCCCTCTGCCTTCACTGGCTCTTTCCCTCCTGGGACCCAGTGGAGGCTGAGGCGACCGGTTTACGGTCTTCGTCAGGCTCCTCGTGAGTGGCACGACACCCTGCGTTCTACCCTGTCTGACCTTGGGTTCCAGCCGTCTTCTGCTGACCCGTCGCTGTTCGTTCGTCGTGGCCCCACACCTTTCTTTGTTCTGGTCTACGTTGACGACCTTGTTTTCGCCACCCCTGACAGGGTTGCTTTGGCACACGTGAAGTCCGAACTGCAGAAGAGACACACCTGCACTGATCTTGGTGAGCTGCGCCACTACCTTGGCCTGCAGATCACCAGGGACAGAGCTGCTCGCACCATTACACTTTCACAGTCGCACATGGTGCAGCAGGTCCTTCAGCACTCCACAGTACAGCGCACACCTCTTGCTGTTGACCACAGACTCACTGGACCCTTTCCTGACGAGCCGTTCGAGCCTAGTGGTCCCTACGCAGAGCTTGTGGGTTGCCTCATGTACCTGATGACTTGTACTCGCCCGGACCTCGCCTTCCCTCTCAGCGTTCTTGCGCGCTTTGTTGCGCCAGGGAGACACCGTCCTGTTCACTGGACAGCAGCTGTGAGGGTGGCGAAGTACCTAGCGACGACGTCAGGCGTGGGGCTAGTTCTTGGAGGGCAGCAGTCTGTCGTACTTACTGGTCACTGTGACTCCTCTTACGCTGACGACGCTGAGACTCACAGGTCTACTCAGGGGTACTGTTTCAGCCTGGGTTCTGGAGCTGTTTCCTGGCGGTCCACGCGCTCCTCTTCGGTCTCGACCTCTACAGCTGAGGCTGAGATCTACGCTGGTGCCATGGCGGCACAGGAGCTGCGTTGGTTGACCTTCTTGCTCACCGACCTTGGTGAGCGGCCGAGCTCTGCACCGACCTTGTTCACTGACAACAAGGCGTCTATTCTCCTTTGTCGAGAGCCACGACTGGAGAGCAGAGTGAAGCACATTCACGTCAGGTACTTTCTTCTGCGAGAGTTGCAGAGGCGTGGACAGGCTCGCTTTGAGTTTGTGGAGTCCGAGGCCAACACTGCAGACATCTTCACCAAGGCGCTTCCGCCTTGTGACCACCAGAGGTGCTGTGTGCAGTTAGGCCTTGTTGACACTGGTTCTCGTGTTGCTTAGGCTTGAGTGTACTGTTTACTTTGCTTTCTATATACCTCTGTTACTTCTTGGACTGGCCTTGTGGCCACTGTTGTTTGTGCTCAGACTGTGTGGTGACGTTGTGATCCACCCTGAGCTTCGTTTCTTGGACTGGTCTTGTGACCGTACTCGTTTGGTTCTGCTAGACACCCCTCACTTAGGCTATGGGGGTGTGTCAAATGTTGTAGCCTATAGTGAGGTTTGTCTTAGGGGGTACAAAACTTAGGGTTAGCTATATGTACCCCAACCAACATCAATGCATCATCCATTCCTCATTCTGACACTACATTGCATTCATGAAAGGTACACGCTGATACATCTATCTATCTACAAAAATGATGGGTCAGCAGCAGCATTACTGGTACCACCCTCTGGAAGTGTTGCGTGATGTACAGTACAGGGAAGGGGGATAACACTGTCTGGAACTGGACATGTTGTGCGTCCTCTGCTCCATGCTTCACCATGCCCTCTGTACAGATCAACACAATGCCCATTGCCCACCCACCCACCGTCATCACCATTCACCATCCCATCACCACTGGTTAACCCGTGCCTCTCTCACCCTCTGCTGCTCCTCCCTCTCCATCTGCTCCACCGCTGCTGCCCTGCCCCTGCCCCGCAACAACCTCCTGCCCAACCTCTCCCTCACACCCTCCTTCCTCTTCAGCATTCCTGCTAACGTCTCTACCCCCGCTTCCCCCACTCCTACCGCTCCCTCTTCCCTTCCCCAACCACCCGCCTCTGCACCTTCGCTGTAACCATCACTCTCGCCAACAGTGAAACCACCACCACCACCACTGCCACCACCATTAAGACCCATGACGATCCCAATACCTCCCCCACTCAACACTCCCCTATGCTCGTTACCAAGCCCACCATCACATGCACCTTCCTCACCTGCTCCTCCCCTCTCCCCATTCACCACCCCTCTCTTACCGCGCACCTCTGCAGCCATCAACACAGCGTCGTTGTGAGCACGGATACGCGCACCCACCCCACCTCTTTCCAATGCCCCACGTCTCTCCCCGCCTCCACCTCTCGCCCCGCCCCTGACTCCCCCCGCCTGTTCCCCTCGCCCCGCACGCACGCCCCTCCACTGCCCCTCACCAGCAGCAGCAGCAGCAGCAGCAGCAGCAGCAGCACTACCACCACTCCGTGCCAACCCGACCTCCTCCCCTGCTGCACCACCCACGCCAGCCTGTGCCAGCTGCGATGCACACTCACCCGGCGCCATCAACACATCCCCCTTCCCCAGCAGAGCGGCTCGCTGCTTCAGGCTAGCTGCCACACGCAGCACCAACCCACGCCTCTCCATCCCCAACCTGCTGGAACCATCCGCTCCACCCCCACTGGCCCCACTGGCCGTACTGGTTCTCACACTCATGAAACAGCCCCCGTGCCCCGCCTGCACTGCTCTCGAGCCTCCTCCTCCATACCAATCCAGTGACCCCAGTTCTCTCCTCCTCCTCGTCTCCTCCTGCATGCCCTCTTTGCTCCTTTCTGCCTTTGTGCCTTGCGTTCCCCTCTCCCCATTACCAGCAGCACCAGCAGCACCAGTTCCTCCCACCCCCGGCCCAGCATCCCCATCGCACTTCCCATCTCCCCCGTGCCTCCTCCCCTGCCTCTCCCTGCGCCTCACATTGCGCGCTGCCTGCCGCCCCACCTGCCTCTGCCAAGCCTCCCACTCCACCCCATCTGCCCCCCCTCCCCCACCTGCGCTCAACCCTCGGTGTGAAATCACGCTCGCTGTCTCACTCGTACTCCCATTCGCCCCCTCGCCCGCACTCTCCCCTCCAGCCCTGCGTGCACGTCCACTGTTGCCAGTCTCCCCAGTGACTGCCCCACCCTGTACCCCACCCAACGGCCCACTCACCACCTCCCTCACTTCCAACTCCTCTGCCTCAACGTCCCCACCATCGCCACCATCGCCACCATCCCCACCATCACACCCTTCACCCTCATCTCCCTCCCTCTGCCGTTTCACTCCCCTGCACAACATCCTCTCCTCCTTCCCCGCCCTCTCTTCCTTCCCCTCCCTCTCCTCCATCCCCACCCTCTCCTCCCCCCCCTCCCTCTCCCCATCCCCATTCTCCCTTCCTCGCCTTCCCTTCCCCACCCTCCTCCCCGCACTTCCCCCCACCCCCTTAGGAGCCTCATAATAGCTAACCTGCAGGCCCATGAGCTCTCGCACGCGCTCAGGAGGCAAGCACGCACTATCGTCCACAGGCCCCCAGTGGTTGCTCACGCACAGGCCCCTCTGGTTCGCCAGCATGCCCCCTGCCTCCTCCTCGCCCCACACTAACAGGTGCGACCCCCACGGCAGCACCGGTGCTTGCTGCAGCAGCTGCTGCCGCACACCCTGCTGCCCCTGCTGCCCCTGCTGCTGCTCTGATGGCTCGGTTTTCTGGTCAGGTTCCGAGGACGCTCCTGCTGTTGCTGCTGCTGGTGCTGTTGTTGGCGGTGCTAGTGGTGGTGCTGCCGCTGCCGCTGCTACCTCATGTGCGAGGTTCTGTGCGTCACCGCACCTCCTTTCACCATCCACCTGCTGCTGCTGCGCTTGGTTCAGAGCACCCATGTCTTCAACACTACTCCCTTCAACAAGTTCAATGGCACCAACAAGTTTATCCCCACCACCACCACCGCCACCACCACCATCCTCCCACTCCACCTCCTCTTCCCCGCTCCCAACAACACCTCCCTTCCCCTCCTCCCATCCTTCCTCCCCACCTTCCTCCTCTCCCACCACGCCTCCCTCCCCCCTCACCTCCCACGTCAACCCCACCGCTCTGCACCGCTCCAGAACTTCTTTCATCTGCGCCCGCAGCCCAATGACCTCTCTCAGCATCTCGTCCCTACACGCCGGGTCAAGCGGGTCAACCCTGGTCAACGCATGCACCCACCCGCCACTCACACTCAGATACCGCCCCTGCACCACCGCTGCCAGGGCGCACAGCGACTGTATTAGACCACCACCCACACCACCCACACCACCCACACCACCCACACCACCCACACCACCCACGTGCCCTGACTGGGCTACCTGAGTTTCCTCTGCTGCCTGCCCTGCCTGCCGTGATTGGTCTGACAGGGCGTGTGCTGCAGCAGAGAGGCGGTGGGCAAGGCGGGCATGGGCGTGTGTGCGGTGGGAGAGCGCGTGCAGCTCCGCGCGTCCGAATGGCTCGCAGTAGGTGTCAGATAAAGGGTCCTGCTCCTCCCACTCCTCTTCTTCTCCCCCTTCTCCTTCTCCTTCTCCTTCTCTTGCTCCTGCTCCTGCTCCTGCTCCTGCTCCCTCAGCTTCCCCACTACCTCCTTTCGTCTTATCTTCCCTGTCTTCTCCTACTTTCCTTCCGCCTTCCCCTCGCTCTCCCCCGTCCCCTTCCGCCTCTCCCCCTTCCAGCGCCCTGATCCCCTGCTCCAATTTCCGCACAGCTCGCCTCATCTCCTCCCCCAATTCCGCCCATTCCGCCTGCGCCCGTTCGTATCGCGCCAGCTGTGCTGCATGCACCCGCGCGGCTCTCTCCCGCCGATCCCTCTCCCGCGCGCTCTCCACCCCCCGGCGCCCCCGCCCCGCGCGCTCCCCCGCGGTTCCCCCCTGCGGCATGGGGAGCTTGAGTGTTCCCACTAAGTAGCGCAAAGCCATGCCCAGGGACGGGTAGGAAGCGCCAAAAGCTGCCAGCCAGGCTTGTAGGCACTCAAGTGCGCGCGTGCGGAGGATGGAGGCGCGGGCGGCGGGCGGGGGAAGGGGGGAGGCGGGGTGGATGCCTAGTGTGAGGCGGAGGAAGGGGAGGAGATGCGCGGGGAGGAGCAGGCGGCGGAAAAGGCGCGAGCGCATGAAGAGGTAGTCTATAACGAGGAGCAGCAAAAGACGGATCTGCGCGTGCTTATTCTCGAGGCGCGTCATGATAGCGTCGAATGCGGCGCGCATGCAATCGTCATCGTATCGCACGAGTCGCTTCAGCTGCGACAGGCTTGCGACGTTAAGCGACAGGCCCGTTGTTGACGACAGCGCTTCGACGAGCTCCCGTGCACGGCCCGCGGGGGTTACGGCCTCTGACGAATCGGCCTTTGCCGCGCGCCGTGACGGGCGGTTGGCAGACAAGCCGTGAGGGGTGGCGCGACGTGGTGCCATAAAGCCCTTTTTGGGAAGAGGTACTGAAGAATGGTTACGCGCCCTTGCGGTTCTGAAAGGCCCGCTCGCGGCTAGGCCGCGGTTTCGGTTGGTTCGGTTCTTTTCTGTAATGATTATGAATATATTACTGTAAAATTGCCTCCCAGCCTAAAGTTGTCACTACCCATGTATCCTCCGTCCTTCGGTTTAGGGCGTGTGTCCTTGAGGTCGAACTTTTGCCAAAGTTAGAACTTCTAGCAAGGTTGTAGACGGTAACATACAGTTGAGAGACGTGTCGCCACGGTACAAAGTGTGTCAGAATGAAGAATGGATGATGCATTGATGTTGGTTGGGGTACATATAGCTAACCCTAAGTTTTGTACCCCCTAAGACAAACCTCACTATAGGCTACAACATTTGACACACCCCCATAGCCTAAGTGAGGGGTGTCTAGCAGAACCAAACGAGTACGGTCACAAGACCAGTCCAAGAAACGAAGCTCAGGGTGGATCACAACGTCACCACACAGTCTGAGCACAAACAACAGTGGCCACAAGGCCAGTCCAAGAAGTAACAGAGATATATAGAAAGCAAAGTAAACAGTACACTCAAGTCTAAGCAACACGAGAACCAGTGTCAACAAGGCCTAACTGCACACAACACCTCTGGTGGTCACAAGGCGGAAGCGCCTTGGTGAAGATGTCTGCAGTGTTGGCCTCGGACTCCACAAACTCAAAGCGAGCCTGTCCACGCCTCTGCAACTCTCGCAGAAGAAAGTACCTGACGTGAATGTGCTTCACTCTGCTCTCCAGTCGTGGCTCTCGACAAAGGAGAATAGACGCCTTGTTGTCAGTGAACAAGGTCGGTGCAGAGCTCGGCCGCTCACCAAGGTCGGTGAGCAAGAAGGTCAACCAACGCAGCTCCTGTGCCGCCATGGCACCAGCGTAGATCTCAGCCTCAGCTGTAGAGGTCGAGACCGAAGAGGAGCGCGTGGACCGCCAGGAAACAGCTCCAGAACCCAGGCTGAAACAGTACCCCTGAGTAGACCTGTGAGTCTCAGCGTCGTCAGCGTAAGAGGAGTCACAGTGACCAGTAAGTACGACAGACTGCTGCCCTCCAAGAACTAGCCCCACGCCTGATGTCGTCGCTAGGTACTTCGCCACCCTCACAGCTGCTGTCCAGTGAACAGGACGGTGTCTCCCTGGCGCAACAAAGCGCGCAAGAACGCTGAGAGGGAAGGCGAGGTCCGGGCGAGTACAAGTCATCAGGTACATGAGGCAACCCACAAGCTCTGCGTAGGGACCACTAGGCTCGAACGGCTCGTCAGGAAAGGGTCCAGTGAGTCTGTGGTCAACAGCAAGAGGTGTGCGCTGTACTGTGGAGTGCTGAAGCCCGAACCGCTGAAGGACCTGCTGCACCATGTGTGACTGTGAAAGTGTAATGGTGCGAGCAGCTCTGTCCCTGGTGATCTGCAGGCCAAGGTAGTGGCGCAGCTCACCAAGATCAGTGCAGGTGTGTCTCTTCTGCAGTTCGGACTTCACGTGTGCCAAAGCAACCCTGTCAGGAGTGGCGAAAACAAGGTCGTCAACGTAGACCAGAACAAAGAAAGGTGTGGGGCCACGACGAACGAACAGCGACGGGTCAGCAGAAGACGGCTGGAACCCAAGGTCAGACAGGGTAGAACGCAGGGTGTCGTGCCACTCACGAGGAGCCTGACGAAGACCGTAAACCGGTCGCCTCAGCCTCCATTGGGTCCCAGGAGGGAAAGAGCCAGTGAAGGCAGAGGGACGACGCAACCAGACCTCCTCGTGAAGACTGCCCTGAAGGAAAGCAGTAGAGAAGTCGAGAGAGTGTAACTCGTAGTCTCTCTGTGCTGCTACGTGTAGTAACACCCGAAGAGTGGTCATCTTCGGGGTGGGCGCGAAGGTCTGAAAGAAGTCAACTCCCTCGCGCTGACTGAAACCTCTAGCCACGTAGCGCGCCTTGAAGACCGGAGGAGATCCCGGTGGCCGCTTCACCCTGTAGATCCACATGCCGTCGACTACGTTCGCCCCCGGAGGGGGAACCTCATCGACGTAGGTGCCTGTGGATCTGTAGGAGGCCATCTCTGCGTCCATGGCAGCTCTCCACTGAGAGGCCCAAGGCCCTGACACTGCCTCAGCGTAAGTGCGAGGAGTCGGAATGTCAAGGGCGTCGGGGTCACCCTCAGGGGCGAGGAGCATGGCACAGAGATGAGGGGAAGCGGCTGCCAAGAACTCTAGCTCAAACTGCCTGTCCTCTAGGGCGTCACAGCCAAGGGCAGACACACCCCCGACGGCCAGAGGACTGGAAGGAGGAGCTGCCACAAGAGCGGTGGCGAAGTCAAGGCGGCGGGTAGAGGCAAACTCAGTGACTGCGGCAGTAAGAGCGGACACAGAGGACACAGAGGCACGAGGGTGGGTAACAAGAGAGGCGAGAACACGAGAGAGAACAGGACGGTACGTGCGGTAGTAGTCAGTGACAGGAGAAGGAAGCGACACAGTGAGGGCCGACTCAGGAGGAGACGGAAGCACAGACGGAGACGGACGAGGTGGACGAGAACAAAGGAAGGCTGTACGAAGGTCAGTGAAGGGAACAGGAGACGAGGGACGAGCACGAGGGGAGCGACGAGAGGCCCAAGTCTGAGAAGGAGGAGGAGACAACGAAGACTGAGAACGAGGGAAAACAGCGGGAGAGGGGTCAGGAGGAGGAAGCGGAGGACCAGAGACGGGAGGAGAGGGGGAGGAGGAAGGAGAGGGAGACGGGAGACCAAGGGTCCGAAGACCCGAGACAGGAGGAGGAGACGGCAGCAGCTGCTGCTGCTGCTGCTGCGGCTGCTGCGGCTGCTGCTGCTCCAGCGGCTGCTGCCCCTGCTGCTGCTCCTGCTGCTGTCGCTCCTGCTCCTCGAGCCGCTGCAACTCTCTCCCCTCTCTCTCCAACTCCAGCTGCTCCTCACGAGCACGGCGAACACGAGCCTGGAACCTGGTCGGGTAGGGGTGGGGGGAAGGAGTAGTGTCCGGGGCAGCGGCAGCCCCAGAGTCGACCTCCGAAGCACCAAGCACACCACCCCCAGAGGCAGCACCAACACCAGCTCCAGACCCAGGCTCTCCAGAAACCGAAGGGACACCCTCACCCCCAGACGCAGCACCCCCAGACTCCGCACCAGCACCCCCAGACTCCGCACGACCAGTACCAGCCCCCGGAAGACAAGAGTCCTCTGCAACCCGCGGCTCAGCTCCAACTCCAGCACCCCCAGAACCAGAGACCTGTACAGGGACAGTCGCAGGACCAACCTCCCGAGAGGGAGCACCTGCAGGAGGCGGCGAGGAAGACTGTGGGGAGGGAGGCTGTACAGGGGGGGCTACCGAAGGGGGAGGGCTAGCCTGAGACACACCAGACGGGGCTGGACCAGGGGGGGGAGGCTGTACCGGGGGAGCAGGCGGGGGAGCGGCGGTCAGGAAGAGAGGGGGGGGAGGGACCGGGAGACCTCGACTGGGGTACCTGACGTAGTAGGGGGTGGACTCCTCGAAACGGACGTCACGGGAGTCAAAGAACCGGTGAGAGGGAGGGTGGTAAAAGGTGAAGTCAGAGGAGTCCTCAGGGAAACCAAGGAAGACACAAGGAACGGCGCGAGGCGAGAGCTTGTCCGCGGAGGTGTCGCGGACAAGAGCCAAGCACCCCCAGACACGAAACCTCGACGCGACACCAGGGGACCCTGTCCAAAGACTGGTCGGTGAAGCCTCCGGCCGAGAGACGCGTGGCCAGAGGTTCAGCTGGTGCGCGGCGTACCTGACCGCGTATGGCCACAGGAAATGGGGGGCACGGGCGTGAGTCAAGGAGGTGCGGGCAATCTCCATGACCAGGCCTATGCGACGCTCAGCAACCCCATTCTGCTGTGGGGACTCCGGAAGCGTCCAGGACTGACGAATGCCCTGTTCGCGACAGAATCCAGCGAGAATGCCGGAGCGAAACTCGCCCCCGCGGTCGGAGTGGAGACAGCTGACACGACGACCACGAGTGTCCTGGGTGGTAAGCAACCACCTGATCAGCGTAGAAGTCACCTCAGACTTCCTCGCCAGGGGGAACACTGTGGTGTAGCGGGAGTAGTCGTCAACGACCACCAAAAAGAAACGCTCACGCTCAGGGCCAGGGCGAGGAGAGGGGCCCCAGACGTCCAAGTGCAGCGTCTCAAAAGGCTCGGTGGCCGGACGAAGGGAGGAGGAGTGAGGGGTGGCGCGCAGCCTACCCTCGACGCAAGGACCGCACGGTGGTGCAAGGGACGGCGGCAGCGACGGCAAGACACGCGGGAGACCTAAGACAAGACGCTGACGAGACATAGCGCGAAGACGAGGAGGAGAAGGGTGCCCCAGCCGGTGGTGCCACAAAACGGTGGGGTGGGCAAGCGACCGACAGGAGCACGACGCAGCGACCGGACTAGACGGAGGAACCTGACAAGACACAGCTACCTGGGGGGACGGAGCAACCTGGTGAGACGCGAGGACTCGAACGGGGGGCAAAACAGGGGCCGGGGGCAGGAGGGGCGGCTGTGGCTGCGGCTGCGGCTGCTGCTGCTGCTGCTGCTGCGGCTGCTGCTGCTGCTGCAGTCGCTGCTGAGCGCGCGGGCCAGTGTGAAGAGTGTAGAGACCGGAGCCCGGCTCAGCAGCAAAAGTGGCGAGGGGCTGGTAAGAGTCCCCGTCAACACACACCGCAGTCTCTCCAGAAGGCTCAAACCACACACCCACGTGCTGACTCACGAGGGGTCGCACGCCCACCAAGTTCCGGGAGAACGAGGGGACGTGAAACCCAGTGAGAGACCCAGAAGGAGCAGCCGGACACGGCAAGGTGGTAGTGTGACGCGCGGTGACTGGTCCCGAAGTGGGATCAGCCAGCGCCACAGAAACAGGCGCAGGAAGAGGCGTAAGTGTCGTGCTGTCACGAAAGAAGCAGTGAGAGGCTCCAGAGTCCAGCGTGAACGACAGCGAACCGTCCTCTGAGGTAGCCGC